TACAGAAGTGGGTCAGGAAAAGATACAGCCGTATAGTAGTACCGGAAGCTATAGACATGCTAGGTAGAGGACCTTTGGGGACTGCATGAAACAAGCACAATAGGTGACCCCCAAATTAATAAATCATTCCAACATGTAATTTTTACAGTAAAGATGGAATGTAATCACCCTCGAAGGACAGCACATATGAAGTATGTTTAAAACAATGCTTATTGATGAAATTGACATTCATCTTTTTCCATTATATTGGTTATTCATTTCTCTATGGCAAATTATCCCCAAATTTAGCAACTGAAAACATCAAACACTTAGGTATTATTTTGCACAGTTTCTGAAGCCAGGAGTCAGGAGCAGCTTAGCTGAGTCATCCCAGCTCAAGATCGCCATAAGTTTGTGGTTAAACTGCCAGCTGGCTGCAGGCACAGGGAGGCAAGATGTAGGCTCTGCTTCCCATACAGCTCGCCCGAGGGGCTGTTGGCTGGAGGCCTCAGCTGCTGGACACGTGTACCTCTCCACAAGGCTGCCTCAGACATGGCAGCTGGCGTCACCCAAAGCCAGTGATCGGAGGGAAAGAGAGCAGGCGGCTCCTGCTTCCAAAGAGACACGCCCGCGCTTCTGCTATATTCTATTGGTCACACTGGCCAACTCCAATACACTGTGGCAGGGCACCACACAGAAATGTGTCATCTTGGATGCCGGCTCTGACACCCAGACACTTAGTAAAGTTGGCTGTAAGTTAAAATGGCTCTCCCAGCTCCCCCGGTGCACATTTGCTCCAAGTGCAGACTGCAGTAAGCAGGTAGCACTACTGGTCATTCCAGTGCCGCAGCCACGGTGCCATCGGCAGTGCTTCCTAAAATGTACTGTAATTCTTGGTAAAATTCCCAGGAAAAAGAAGTGCAATTTTCATAACCGTTGCCTTTGTGGAAGAAAAATAGAATTAGTATATTTAAAGTCCAGTAGCCCTGGCTGGTGTGGCTCAATGGATTGAGCACCAGCCTGTGAACCAAAGGGTGGCTGGTTCAGTCCTTAGTCAGGGCACCTGCCTGGGTTGCCGGCCAGGTCCCCAGCGGGGGGAGCACAAGAGGCAACCACACATTGATGTTTCTCTCCCTCTCTTCCTCCCTCCTTTTGCCTCTGTCTAAAAATAAATAAATAATAGATAGATAAATTCATTTATCTATTTATAAATAAATAGATAAATAAATAACTGCAAGGGTCTTATTAAACCAGTCAACAATTCCTACCCACCCCTGGCTGGTGTGGCTCAGTGGATTGAGCACCCGTCTGCAAATCCAAAGGTTGCTGGTTTGTTTCCCAATCAGGGCACATGCCTGGGTTGCAGGCCAGGTCCCCAGAGTTGGAGCATGTGAGAAGCAATCAACCTATCGATGTATCTCTTGCACATCAATGTTTCTCTCCCTCTCTTTCTCCCTCCCTGCCCCTCTCTCAAATAAATAAAATCTTTAAAAAAACAACAAAAAAAAACCCTTCCTACCCTAACTGAATCCTCCCAAAAAACTAAAATAAAAATCAGGCAAAAAGTATGTTGTGTTTATAGGTGAGATATAATTCCATTCTGAGCCTAGGTGGTTATAGGCAGACTTTTCACCCCCATGAATGCCTGGTGGGATGTTTGAATGCTGGGCAGGACACGGGGAAATTCCTCTTTTCAGTCACTGTGACACTCCCCGCACCCCCGGCCCCACCTCCTAAATGCCTGTGGTCCCGCTGCTGTTTGAACTGTTGAACCACTGGGACGGCAAGGACTTACCAACCAATCAGAACAGAGGCCAGCACAGCGGTACGGGTCTCCAAAGCGCCAAAGAGAAACTCTAACCATTGGGTCAGCTGACGACTCCCGCGCAGATCTCTCGAACGTCCTCTAGAGGGCAGCACGCCTCCGCTGAGAACCACCCAGACCCTCCCGGCTGGAGCCTGTCTAGGTCAACATCCACCGGGATCACAGCAGTCGTGCCGTTGGACCAGACCGTGCTCCTTTGACAGGTGAGGGAAAGGAAGTTCAGGGAGGTCACAGAGCTAGTGAATAGCGGAACCTGGGTCTAAATGCAGATGCCCCCGGATGCAGAGCACACTTCCGTTCCTCTGCAGCACACCGCCCGAGGCTCCTCGGTACCGGAGCGTGAGTAAAGCACAAGAATGATGGTAGTCCTACTAGGAAACGGACTGGATCCGAGGCCGCCCCGGGAACCGATGGGGTTCTTGCATCTTCTCTCCAGAGGCTGTCACTAACGTGACCGGCTCCAGTCGCCTCTCGGCCAACTCCACAGCGGCACCGTGTGTGGGTGAGAACTGGCATCTGGAACCAGACCAACCACACACAGCCTGGGTTCAAACCCCAGCTCTGCCACTTTCTAGCTGTACGACCCAAGGCACGTTACTTAACCTCTCTGAGCCTTAGTTTCCTCATCTCTCAGAAGCAGCGTACAATATATCTCTGCCATAGGGTTGTTGTGAAGAGTAAATTAGTTAACGCAGGGCAAGTGTTCCACAAGTGTGAGCGGCTGTCACCTTCTCAGTACCTTGTGCCTCGTTATTGTGCTGCATCCCATTCCAGATTCAGGATAACTTCGTCAGCGTCTGTTTGCCTCTCTATGCCTCATGGTCTCTCCATGTAAACTTTCAGTGCTATTTACTTCATCTGCTCAGCATTGATTAGCTCTAATTTCCACGAGGATACAACAATTTCATGCAGGCTTCACAAATCATGTGTTGCTATGGAAAGATCTTGAAGATACACTAATAGGTGAGTGAAGAAAAAGGTATAGACAAGTATGTACAGTATGTTCACATTTTGTGTGTGTGTTTGAGAGAGACTGTGTATGTACAAATTATATACATTTTTGGAAGGATATTGTAGCAAAATGATGGTCCCCCCAAATATATACTAATCCCCAGAACCTGTGTTATCCATGTCATTACATAGCAAAGGGAAATTAAGGTTGCTAATCAACCAATCTTAAAATAGGGAGATTATGCTGAATTATCTGGTGGGTCTGATGTAATCACAGGGTCTTTCAAAGTGGAAGAGGGCGGTAGGAGAGTCAGAGTCATGTGACATGAGGACCCGACCTGCTGTTACTGGCTCTGAAGACAGAGGGCCCACAAGCCGAGGAACGCAGGCAGCCTCTGGGTGCCGGGAAGGCCCCACAGGCCTGACTTCTTGGGCTAGGAACCACAGCTTTCCCAGAGGAACGTCACCATGGGCCATTTCGAAGGTGACGGGCAACAGGCACAGCTGTCCGCTGCATCGTTCAGGCCAAGCTCACCGAGCGCCTTGGGACAAATCACGGTGCAAACTGTTGCTGAAGGGAAAGCTTTCGAGGACGAGGCCACAGGGTCACCCGAGGGGAACCACAGAGGGCACAGCGGCCCAGGCATAAATGCCCAAACTGAGTCATGTGCCCCGGGTCATGTTTCCTCCAGAAGGTTCTCAGGGTGCACCAGGGAGGACCCCGCCCCTCCACTGTGAGCAGGTATCCTTGCTAACAGTGTTAAGCTTATTGGGGGTGTGTTTGGGTGCGCCTGTCCTGTTGAGACCTTCAGGCGGGATCTGTCACTTTGTGGGGCTGAAGGGCAATGGCACACATCAGTCATCTAGGGAAGACGTGGGTCCTTGAAGAGAAAGGCAGCCCTTCGAGGTTGGTCTCGGCAGGGAAGATACTCCCTTGACTTCACTCTCCTAGGTCCAGGTTGGGGTGAGTGGGGCGTTCGTGGGGCACGGGAGGGCTGCCCCAGAGTGGAAGCATGTTGGGCTCTGTCAGCCCACAGCGGGCTGGGGCCTGGGCTCAGAGGCAAACTGAGGATGTGGTTTTGTTCAACAGGCCAGACGATGCCGTCCTAGGATGGTCCTCCCTCCCGCTCCGTCATCCCTGAGCCTGGAGGGACATCTATGCTCACATCCTAGACTGGTCTCACTATTATAACCGCCTTTGTGGGTCTGCCCTTAGATCGGAGAAGAGGGAGTTCAGTGTCCCCACGCAGGAGGCGGGGTGGTGGCAGCAGCAGTGACACCAAGGAGTGTCTGAGGTTCCCATTTGGGGCTGAGGGGCCCACGTGCACCCCTCAATTGCTGCTTTCTGGGAACCCAGGTCGTGGAAGGGGGGAGACCCCTGGAGGTCTCCAGTGAACATATGCTGCTTGGAACACTGTCGGAAAGGAGAGGCACCACCTCCGGGAACAGGCACGGCACACCGCCACCTGTCGCTTCTGCGGGCTCCTGGCGATGTCCCCACAGCGGGCTGAGGCCCAGGGATGGGGACCTGGGCAGTTGGTAGTAGGGAAGCATGTGAGGGTGTAACAAGGTTACAGGGGCTTTCACCTTCAGGAGGCCCCCCACCAGCAGGGCTGTGTCCTGGCAGCAGGAGGAAGATCATGTACAGCAACAGTGCTCACCTACCAAAGACCTGGACACCGTCCACCTGAGGCGCCAGGCCACCGAGGATGGGCCTCGGGCACACAGAACAGACAAAGCCGAGCCGCAGCCGGGACAAAGGCCTCTGTGGTGGAGGTTCCCTCCTCCGTCCTCAGGGTCCTGAGCCAGGGTCCCGGGCCTGCAGTTTGGAGAGGAGCCGTGAAAAGGCTGGGCACCAGGCACAGTTTGATTCGGGCTAGTTAATGAGTTGGGAAATGTCAATAAAATGCTATGACATCTGGAAAGCTAAGTTAGGAGGCGAAAAACTAACAGAAAAAGGTCAATGCCGTGTCGTAAGAAATGTCAGATTCCAACTTAACACACTCCACTAAACCAGCCAGAATCCTGTCTGACCTGGAGCTAGGTTACTTAAATAAATAAACCTGTTTTTACTTAACTGAATTACCTTCTTAACAAGAAAAATCTATGTCATGATTGGTTTTGATATCATCAATCTAAAAGATAAAAAACACGTAGGTGTAAAAAAATTTAGGTAGTCAGCCAAAAATATGGTTATTATAGTAAAATACGGTTATTATTGTTGTTTGTGCAACAGACCACTCAATAATCATTAAAATTCACTTTAATGTAGACAACATTTACAAGCATAAAGTACGCTATGCTGAAATTAAGGATTTGCTAGAGTTTTCTGATAATTTTACTTTCCCTTTAGCCAGTATTGAAGATGGCTTCCCTGATATATGTTCCTGCAATGCAGCTGGGTGTGATACATCGAAGTCCCTTTTTAGCCAGAGTCACAAACTGTAGGCTTCTAAGGTGTTTTGGAACTTAGTTCAGGGTAATGCTGTCATTCTAGAAGCCAGATAACTCATTCAACAAAATAATCACATATTATAGCAATCGATGTCCCATCATTTAAGCAAAAAGGCCTGAAATTTCCTTTCGAAGATGTAGTTTTGCTTTGACTATCACATACTTTACTAATAGCTGACTATCACATACTTTACTAAGAAGCTACTAATAGCTTCCGAAATGAGTGGTGAGAGCCATGCTTCTGCAGCATCCACACCGCCACCCTCTGGATTCCACGAGGAGACAGACCTGCTCCTTCCGGCCCGATCCCATTCCGTCCCTGTTGCCCAATTCTGTGGCCAGAGCAGTTCCACAGACCCAACTATGTCAGCTCAGGCGGTGGGCATGCAATGCAATATACAGATCACGTACCATAGAAATGTACACGTGAAACCTGTCGTCCTATTAACCATGTCCCCAATAAATGTAAACAGAAGTCGGATCTGCTGAAAAGTGGATGGACGCAACTGTCTCATGAAGGCCAAATTCTTACTTGCCAAAGGTGTAAACTGGTTAAAAAATTCAGACATCTTATCTTTGCTTATTAAAGAATTCCTAAGGAAATTAGCTCCCTAAGACAGCAAACTGAGATTCTTCGTGTGACTGGGGAGTCACACACACAGCACAGAGGCCGCGGATGGGTTTACGAGAACCTAACGTTTCAGTGAGTGCAGGTGAGGCCAAAGGTGAAATCCTGTTTCCCTTGAACCATAGTGTTACTCCCCGCAAGCCCCACTCCTGAAAAGTCTCAAAATGCACTCAGAACTCCTTTAAAAAAAGTGGACACGGGAGTCTATTTCTAGAATAGCTAAATCTAAATCAACCAGCTTGACTGACTTTAAATCAACCAACCTGATCAATTTCTGCAGCCAATGGATCATGAAGTTAGGTAGGGAAAAGTACAAAGTACAACCCGGGTACTTGTTTTTTGTTTTTTTAAATTCAGTATCCACCGAGAGGACCTTTATTTTTTTAAAAAAACAACACTGCAGTAGCTCCACGGCTAACTTCCTATCACGGGATTTCCACCCATGTGGTGCCCCAACCAGAGGAACCACTGAGCATTAATAGCCTCGGGGGTGTGAGTGCAGCAACTGGCAAAGAACACACATCATTTGCAGGTTTCCCTCCTACATTCCCCGCCCTTGTTTAGTTTTATGACTTTGGATACTATTTATTCAGCGTGTTGTTGTTGTTGAAGTGCCTGTGTTTGAAGATGGCAAATGACAACTTTTTAGAGTTTGAAATGGCACCGAGACATCCGGAATACCCTTCAGGATTTCCCGTCTGAGTGCCTGTCCAAATTCGCCTGATGACTGACAATGAAACTCTGAAACAGGTTAAAGAGCTTTCTCAGTTCTCCTCTTGCTCTATGCCCAGAGCGAAGCTGATTGAGCACCTCTGTGATGCAGTTTCTGACGGCCTTCTCCCTCACACCTCCATCCTCCAGGTGAGATCAGTTTGTGCAAAGGACTGAGACGCACAGTTCTCCTGGGTAGCAGTGTACACCGCAGCCTCTATGTGTGATGTCAGTACAACTGAAAATGACTCGGGGCAGTACTGTTGAAATGGTCAGAGTTTAATAAATTTCCACATATTCGCCCAGTTGAAAAAACCTGCCTTGACTCCAGATGTTTTCTCCCCTTCTCCCTGATCATTGCTATTTGGGTTTTTATCTGTGACTTCTTCTGTTTTTATAAGGGTCTCATATATGTCCTGGGCTCTGGATATTTCTTTCTGTGCATCAAAATGGACTTTTTGCCTGGTTAGCAGGGGAACAATTAAGTTAAAATCATTAATCCGCTTGTTTAGTTTTCTGATGTTTTCTTCAAACTGCTCACAAACTTGGTTCCACTGTTTCTGTTCAGTTGCTGTCATGAGGTTGCCAAGTTTTTTCCTGGATGCTAAAATCGCCTCTCTGAGCTGATCAATAGTATCCTTTATTTCCTTTTGCATTAGGATCCATTCTGGCTGGTATCCATTATCGATCAATATTCTGTTCAGGTTGTGAGTCATGGGATCGATGTATGAACAGCCAGAAAACTTTTTCAGAGGCTTTCCTTTCCCACTGAGATTATCAAAGTCTCCTTTTGCCATTGATTCCTGAATGAGATCCTCCACCAAACGCTCTATTGCCTGAGTTATCTTTTGTTCTTTACTTTGCCTTATATCTTTAACAGTTAAACTATCGGCGAAATGCTGGCTGAATAGTTTCTGCTTCTGATATTCCATCACTTGCTCAGTTGCACGATCTGCTCTAAATTGCCTGTATTGCTTCTCCCGTTGACTTGGAGGTCCAAAACCAACACCTTCGAAACTTAAGTAATGCCGGTGTTGGGGTGTTTTATATTCGAATTTCCCTTCTTCTTCGTCCGCTTCTTGAGCTTTATTTTGTCTGGCATTTGTTTGTTCTGTCACATGGGAAAGCACCTTTCTATAAGCTTCTTCAATCTTTATAAACGTTGCAGAGTCCGCAGTAGAGGAGCCACCGTCTGGATGGTACTGCTTGGCAAGCTTGCGAAAAGACCTCCTGACATCGTCTGCAGAGCATCCCTCATCCAGATTCAGCAGCCTATAGTATTCTATCATCTTCTTCTTTAATTTATGAGTTGACATCATCCTATGTCTCAGGACTCCAAGATATGGAAGCATTTTCATTCGATTCGGAACCACTGCAGCATTGGCCAGACGAGACCTTAAGATCTGAGCCATCATCGCGTGCAAAGGGGGCCTTGTGGTACCCAGAGTTCTTCCTACCAGTGATCTATAAAATGACAACAAATATAAGGTGAAGAAAGTTATTTTACCTGACGATTTCATACTTTTGGCAATAAGGAAGAAAGCACAAGTACAATACGGGGCAGTTCTTTCTAAGGCGGCTGCCAACCTTACAGTATATTTCATTTATGCTGGCAGGAAAATGGAAGTTGATGATGTCTAGCATTAACATATTGTGATGTAATCTGAATTCTACTCACTAGCCACAAAAGGTTAGAGCAGGCAAGTTCCTCGAGATCATCTAACCCAATCTGCTCAGTTTATGAGAAAACATAAGCCCAGAAAGTTAAGCAGCATAACCAACTCACAGAGCAAGGAGCCGACAAGTTGGTTAGGGTGAGGGCACAATGAGATGTCTGTCTGTGTCCCCAGTAGACTATCGACTACACCAGCCACCTACCAACCTTTTACCTGGCGTTTTCCTTGTGCCTTTGTCTCTCCCAAAGTCTTCTGGTGAGCAGACTTCACACAAATGAAAGGGAGGGCACGACGAGGTAGATACCTGGTCCGTCACCAGACTGAACAGAATCAAGTCCCACAGACTTGAAGCCCTATAGCTTGTTAGGAAGGAGCTACGTGCTACATGTCGGGAAACTGATGAAAGGTGAGCCCTCCCGACAGGTTACCTGTTACTCTCAAAAGCATGGGAGAATTGAACAATAAAGATAAAGAAAATTTAAAATATAAATAAATGCATGGTAAAACAACGATAATTAAAAAAAATAAACGCACAGTAGCCTTGGCTGGCATGGCTTGTGAACCAAAGGATCGGGGTTCAATTCCCAGTCGGGGCCCATGCCTGGGTCGCAGGCCAGTTCCCAGCAGGGGGCCCATGAGAGGCAACCACACATTGATATTTCTCTCCCTCTCTCCTTCCCTTCCCCTCTAAAAAGATGAATGAGTAAAATCTTTAAAAATAAATAAACAAATACATAAATAAATAAACGCACAGTAGACCAGAGGAGAAAGACTTGTACACAGACAACGGCAACGAAATGATGTGAGTGGTTTAATTGTATCATTCTTGTACGAACACTAAAACTGAGCTCCTTGGGGACCCCCATTTTCTACACAACCGGAGTCAACGGCTCTTACAGCCAGTTGCGGGGGGGGGGGGGGGGGTGGCGATAGTGCCAAGAGCGGTCGTTGCGGGGATAGGGGGGCTGGTTAGTCCCAGCACGCGACACGCCCGGCCCGGTCCCCCACTCACCTTCATAGACTCCCGAAAGGGGCTCCGCTGAGGCCGCCCCCACGACGAGCCTCTGCGCATGCGTTCGGGATTCGCCCTTCACTCCCGGGGTCTCCACAGTGGCCGGTCCCCGTCGTACTAGACTGTGTGCCCTTCCCAGAGGGGACTGGAGAGGTCACGGATGGCAGAACCGTACTTAATCGGGACAGGTGTTGTAGCTCACCGGGGAGCCCAAGAATCTCAGAAGGAACTGTACCCAAGAGGACTCAGGCAAGACATTTTGGGAAGTGGGGCCCCAGCCAGGGGCCACCGGCTCCCTTGGGCGTCCGGGGGGCCTCTCGATTGGGATTGTGGGAGTTGTAGTTCGCCGGGAAGAGTGCCGGGGACTCTGCTGTGCGCCTGCGCCTGCCGAGAGGAGGCGGGGACCGCTAGCGACGCAACGGGGAGGTTGCGGAGGGGGCTAGGGCTTGTCACGCGGTACGTTGAGCTGTGAGCCTTTAGGGAGGGGAAGCCGGGTCCGTTTCCCAGAATAGCCGCTTCGGAGCCTGCAGACGGGACGACACTGGTCTACCTAATCCAGAAAGGTGTAGCCGACCAGGCTAAAACCTAGGCCTTCATCGGTCCCGCAAGAATTCAGTGTCAGGCATTGGTACGGGCTGCGAACAGTCGAGGGCAAAATCTAAAGAGGGGTCTTCTGGCTTTAAATTCAGCCACTGACGTAGGGGACTTAACCAGGGTCAGGCGATTTTTTTAAAAAAAGAAGAAAGAAAAACTTGGGAGGCAGACCTGGGTTGTAAATCGTTTCTTTCATTTGCTTTTCTATCTGTAAGATGAGAGTACCAATAACTAGTAAACGTGTGGTTAGCACTTAGTTTTTGCCAGACACTGTGCCAAGTGCTTTTAAATACAGTCTCGTAATCCTTACAACAGCCCTTTGAGATAAATGCTGTCGTTTTCCACATTTACCTGTGATGAAATAGTGATTGCATCAGACTCCTTGAGTTTTTGCGGGTTACACAAGGTATGTAAACTACATGGAACCGTGCTTGGCACATTAAGCAGCACTATGATTATGTCTCCTAAAAAGAGCTGCAAACAGGTACTAGTGTTCTAAGCTGCCGAGTTATAGACAATATAATATGTTAACCTTGTTTGTTGTAGATGCACAGAAAAAGCTTTAAATTCTGATTCAGAGGGATTTCTTTGCAAGTAAACAACATAAAAGAACTCCTGCATGAAAGAAAATAGTGTTTCTTCTAGTTGGCATCTTAAACACAGCATAAAAGAAAAAACTCATCAATACAGTTTAAAAACCACTCATTACTTGTATAGCACTTTGCATTCACAAAGCTGTCCTTACAAATCTCATTTTGATGTTTGCATCTTTATTGATTGATTGATTGATTGATATAGAGGGGAAGGAAGGGAGAAACATCTTTTTTATAAAAGATTTTTTAAATTTATTTTTAGAAGGGAAGGGAGAAAGGGAGAGAAACATCAATGTATGGTTTTTTTTTCTCATGCGCCCCCTACTGGGGACCTGGCCCACAACCCAGGCATGTGCCCTGACTGGGAATTGAACCAGCAACCCTTTGGTTCTCAGGCCAGCATTCAATCCACTGAGCCACACCAGCCAGAGCAGAAACATCTTTTTTTGTTGTCGCACTTATTTACTCACTCATTGGTTGCTGTTTGTATGTGCCCTGACCCAGGATGGAACGGGAAACCTTGGTGCCCGGGGAGGACGCTCTAGCCAACTGAGCGGAGCTGCCCAGCCAGGGCTGATGTCTGCATCTCATAAGTTACTTTAGTCTGAGGAGTTAGGGACTCAGTTACATCGGTAACTGGCAAAGCTGGGCCTGGAACTGTAAGTTCACTTCCCTTTCAGAGGGTCAGTTGTACAGTATGATTCCGTTCATGTAGAGGGTGAGTTGGATTCGGTGGCGTTATCTGTATAGAACACTTTCAGCTGCAGGATGTACACTGACTGACTGATGGGGGATGAGCTTCCTCGTGTATAAGAAATGTGGACCTAGGCAGTTTCTGGGACTGATTCAGCTTCCAAGAGTTGCTCCATTGCTTTACCGTTCTCTCTTTCTCCATACTGGTACTTTTAACACAAAATCCTTTAAAGTACTTCAGTATTTCCTCAAAACAGGAACATTCTGTTACATCACCATACCACTCACCCAGGACAGCATATTTAACAGACACAATATTGTTTAATGTACAGGTTTTTTTAACCCTGCTGGTTTTTTGACATTTTCCATTTGGCAGAAGAGGACTCTCCTTCCGCGGCGTTTCCAATGGACCTGAAACCCAGGTGAGTCTCAAGCCACCTCCTCACATGGGGCTGGACATCGAGGACTCTCAGAAATGACGCGCACGTCCGGGATCGAGTGCTGATTTCTGTCAGGTCTAGCTCAGAGCTGTAACACTTGGCCTCCCTTTCTTGGCACGAGATCTAGAGGGCGAGAAAATGTTTTGGGGCTGAGATCTTTGCCTTGAAATTACTCGGGAAGAATTAAGATCACATTATTGGAGTATCAGGAGCGAGTTATGAGTGCCTTCCTCTGTAGGGACACAACCCCTGAGCTCAGCACAAACAGGTAGTGGGAGGGTTTCTAACCCCGAAGCCTTGGAATTGCCCAGGGGACCGTGAAACACCAGACACAGCCTGAGCTCAGGCAGCTGCCCTGCTGAGCCCCCAGTGGGCAGTTCCAATGCATCGTCAAGGGGCCCAGGGGCCGGGCATCCAAGACACAGCAGAGCCGTGGCCACCTGACATCCCCCACCGAGGGTTCAAAAAGAGGCCCTGTGGAAATTGGCAACTGGGGATGAAGTCCGAGAAGTGTTTCCCCTGAAAAACCCTGACTAAGGCAGGGTAGCCTCTGGGGTATCACATCAGGGGACCAAGGGGGCTCTGTGGGCATCCGTGCCGGTGAAGTCACCTTGCTGTCTGCGGACCCCACTCCAGCTCTTCATTCAGTCCTGCTGCTGGAGCCTGGCTGCTTCTCACTGAGTCCAGGTCAACTCTCTGCTTCCCACCGCGGCAGCCCCCAGACAGGCGCTGCCCAATGAGGATCCGCTTGTGCCGACCTTTGTGCAAACCTCCAGATGTCCCCCAGACTACCCCAGGAAGAGCCTGAAGCTACACAGTGACCCAGGCCCCACCTCTCAAAGCCACCGCCAGGGTGTTCCCCTGCTCACCCGGCTTTCACCAGCGTGGCCAAGTCCGGGCAAGTGTGACCGTCCCCTTCTGTCTCCCCGTGCAGCATGGGGCTCCCTGCTGTCTGCCGTCCTCTCTACATTCCACTTTCTCAGGGAGAGCCTCCCCATCAGCCCATTTAACTGTGACAGGCCCTCCCCGCCACACCTTAGCTCCCTCTCCTTTCCTGTCTCCACACAGACCGTCTGGAATCTGGGTAACTGCTTGTTTATTATTTTTATTGTATATTGTCCCCCACTTTAGAGCTGGAGTTCCACCAGGGACCAATTTCTGGGGCCTGACCAGGGGCGGCACATGGTAGGTCCGCAAGCAGATTATTTGCTGGAGTGAGTGATGGGTAAATACAGACTTCAGTCTTGCAGGACTGGGTTTTCCGACAGGGGCTGATTATCTCGTTTAAAACGTGGTGCTGGACTGTTGTTGGGTTTCTAATCCCTTATGTCCAAATACATTGTTCTGTAGCCTTCCCGGGCGTCCTTTTTTTTTTACGCAGGGAAAGAGGTCTACAAAATAATCCATTTCAGTGTTAAGAGGGTATTCACATAAAACTGGCTGTTTACCCCTACAATCACTGTCACATCATCCATGTGGACGTGACCTTCCCCGTCCCCCGTGGTCTTTCCCTGGTGAAGCACATCTGTGTCACCACACATTAAGCCATGTGCCAGTCTTCCCGTCATTCTCCCCAGGACACTGGCGAAGCGGGAGCCTTCACCAGGTCTTTGAGTAGCTTCTGTGCGGCTCATGTCACTGGTGGCAGTGGTCTGATAATGTGCCTCATCATCTGGACGGGATCTGAGAGTCAGCAGCTTCAAGTTCAATAAGGGATATCCCTTTTCTCCACTGCAAGGATCGGGGGATTCTTTTGCTTTGGGCTAATTTTTCTTATTTATCACTTTATTAATTTAACAACTAAACAGTGTCAGGCACTGTTCTGGGCCTTAGAAAGGGGGAGCTGAACCTCTGGGGCAAAGGGACCCGGTTGGCCACCCAGCTGCCTGGAGCCGAGCCAAGAGCTCTGGGCAGTTGCTGGCTCCCACCAGAGCCGTTGGGGGCCCTGATCCTGACTGAGGACACAGAAGGACAGTGTCATCTCCATTACATACAAAGGTGGACTCGTGAGATAATCGAATCCAAACCATGGTGTATTTTTCCAAATGATTTGTTTACAAAGATGCCATATAGAACTGTTTCGTAATTATAAAGTACTTTCAGAGAGCAGCATCTCTCTCCGAAGCGGTAATGCTAGGGATCGCCAGCTTGGTGGTTAGAAGGAGAAAAACAGCCTGTCACGTCAGAAAGTGACTTTACACAGTGAGCGTCGCTCAGGTGTCCTGAGGGGTGGAGGGTAAAATGGCATAGCGTTGGGGATGTTTCCTGCTGTTTGAAACACCCTGTGTCATCCGCACACGGAATCGGTGCAAATAGACTAAGGAACTGGCGTTCAGTGTTGGGACGGACACTTCGTGGAAACACTGGACAAGGTTTGCAGCAGTGAAAACTTCTGGCCGGGTAGTATCTACTCGGTGGTGTGAACGAGACTGACAGAGACCCATAGATGCAGTGTTAAAAAGTGGGGGCTTGTTTCCATAAAGTTTCTAATTTTAAGGACCTTAAAACAATTTGCAATTATTTTATATATTATGAGTTCTTAAGACTAATAGAGTAGTGCCCATTCTCTCAGAGAAAAAATGGAAATACAAGCAAGGGATTTATCCAGGATTACTCCAATTGCGAGCAGTGTTGAGTGTGTGTGTGAGTGTCTGTATGTGAGTGTGAGTGTTTCTGGTTACATGACTGAGTATGTGTGTGCATGTGTGTGTGCATGTGAATGTGTGTATATGTGTATGTGTGAGTGTGGTAGTATATGAGTGTGTCTGAGTGTGTTTGTGAGTTTTCTGGAATAGCCCACTGTTAACCTTGGCTGCCCTAATGTTCTTTCATTTGGATACACTTTGGATTAAACAATTGCAAAGCCTTGAGAAAGAAGAACCAAGTTGGAGGAATCATGCTACCTGATATCAAACTATAGTACAAGGCCAGAGTAATCAAAACGGCATGGTACTGCCATAAAAATAGACACATAGACCAACAGAACGGAATAGAGAGCCCAGAAATAAACCCACGCTTTTATGGTTAATTAATTTTTGACAAAGGAGGAAAAACATACATTTGGGTAAAGACAGTCTGTTCAATAAATGCTATTGGGAAAATTGGACAGATACCTGCAAAAAAAAAATTCAACTAGACCACCTTCTTACACCACACACAAGAATAAACTCAAAATGGATAAAAGAATTAAATGTTAGACTTAAAACCATAAAAATCCTAGAACAAAAGACAGTCAATTCACCGACGTTTCTCTTAGCATATGTTTCTGCGGTATGTCCTCAGGTGGGGGAAGCAAACAGACACACAACAAATGAGACCACGTTACGAAGCTTTCCGCAGCGGGAGAAACCACCAAGATGAAGGGACAACCCACTGGATGCAAGGATGTATTTGCCAACAACACATCCGATTGGGGTTAATATCCAAAATTTATAAAGAACTCAACACCAAAACAAACAGTCCAGTTAAAAAATGAGCAAAGGATCTGAATAGGTACTTCTCCCAAGAGGACATACAGATGGCTAACAGACATAAAAAGATGCTCAATGTCACTAAATTATCCAAGACATGTAAATTAAAACCACGGTGAGCTGTCGCCTCCCACCTGTCAGGATGGCCGTCATCAATAAGTCAACATGTGCTGGTGAGGACGTGGAGACAGGGAACCCCCGTGCACAGTGGGAATGCAGCCTGGGGCAGCCACGGAGGAAAAGTGTGGAGCTACCTCAAAAATCGAAAAATAAGTGCCTTACGACCCAGCAATTCCACTTCTAGGAATTTACCTGAAGAAACCTGAAACACCAGTTTGAAAGAACACGTGCACCCCAGTGCTCAGTGCAACATGATTTACAACAGCCAAGCTACAGCAGCGACCCAGGTGCCCACCGACAAGTGGATAAAACAGTGGCGGTACATTTACATGGTGGAATACTACTCAGCCATAAACCAAATTGCCATCTGCAACAACGTGGCTGGGTGTGGAGGGTATTATGTTTGGTGAGATAAGACAAAAATAGATACCATATGATTTCACTTATATGCAAAATCTAAAAAATAAATGAGCAAAACTGACAAAGACTCATAGGTGCAAAGAACAAACTGGTGGTTACCAGAAGGAAGGGGCGTTGGGAAGCTAGGAAAAGGGGAGGGGGTAACAAGTACCACTCAGTAGTTAAAACAGCCCCAGGGGTGTGTGAACACAGCACAGGGAATGCAATAGATGATAATGCAGTAACTGTGCGGTGGCAGTGGGCGTGGGAAATACCCACTGTTGGAGAGAAACACTGCGTCTCTGACTGTCTAGCCACCAAGTTGTACCCCTGAAATCAATACAGAATAATTTTGAAATTAAAATGTAATTTAAACATTAAAAAAATACAAGTGAAGGAAATACAGGTTTTCCAGAGCTGATGAATCGGTGCCCGCAAAGCTCCCCCAGGTGACTGCCATGCATAACTGAACTGGTTACCAGCCTCTCGCTCCTGGCACGTGCCCTGACTGGGAATCAAACTGGTGACCCTTTGGTTTGCAGGCCAGCACTCAATCCACTGAGCCACACCAGCCAGGGTGGCTGCAGAAATACTTCATAAGTCATGTATTATAGGAGACTATTCTGCATGGTGTGGGCCCAGCTTTCAGTGGAAAGCAAGGTCTGATGCACAGGACCCACACCCACAGATAGGTTCTCCCGTGGGGAATCAGACCTGCACTGTACCTCAGCTGCTTTGAGACTTGCTTTTTTGCTAAAACTCCCTCACCCTGAATTGAGGCAGAAAACATTTACTGCATATATTTATTTCTTTATCTTTAGAGGGGAAGGGAAGGAGAGAGGGAGAGAAACATCAATGTATGGTTGCCTTTCGTGCATCCCCTGCTGGGGACTGGCCTGCAGGGAAGCAGCCTGCAACCCAGGCATGTGCCCTGACTGGGAATCAAACCGCGATCCTTTAATTCGCAGGCCTGCGCTCTATCCACTGAGCTACACCAGCCAGGGCTTGTTACCCTATTTTAAAGGTAAGGAAATGGAAGCTCCCAGGAATGATAAAGTTCTCAAGAGCATGCTGCTAAGAGGCAGGGAAGGAGAATTTACACCTGCAGTGGGTTAACACGAAGCAGGTGAGGAACCTGCCCAAGTCCAGCGAGAGGACAGGGGAGCGCAGGAGGCTGGTCTTTCTGTCCTGCACCCAAACCACCTCTCCCACACTAATCAGAACAGCGAGAAGCGGGACTGAAGAAGGCGCAAGGTGGCGCGGGGCGCAGACTGCGCAGTAAGAAGGTGAGGAGCTGGGGCTGAGCATGCCAGGAGCTGCGGGAGGAGTCCCGCAGGCTGGAGAAGACCCCTCCCGCACAGAGCAGAAGGAACCTGTCAGTGGGTGTGAGCAGATGGAGGGTCTGCCTCCCAGCACGCATCAGGGGGTTGAGAGAGGCGGTGCCAGGTCTGGAAACGGCACAGTGAAGCCCAACTCTCCGGCTTTGAGAGAAATCTGGAGAGCCGCGGGCTCTGGAGGAAGTGTGACCCCTCTCGCGACGGCGGGCCCAGCGCACAGGAAGAAATCATACCAGCACTCAAAGAGTCGGGCCCCATTTACATTGTTTTCAAAACGAATTTGTCATCCACAGTTTAGTATCTCCTCCCTGTATTAAACCTTCCTTTAGTGAAGATGTGGGAAGGAGACGTCTTTGATTCCAGGTGCTTCTCCGGGTCCTCCGCCCGCTGCACCCCGCCTCACCCCGCCCCTGCCCCGCCTCTGATTGAGCACAGAGGCTCCTCAGAATGACGACCACCCACCCCCACCCAAACGAGTACTCCGACATGCCAGCCTAAACCTGAAGTCCATGTTAAACTGAAATTTGCAACAGATAGAGAAAAAAATCACGGCAGAGAATAATACCAGGGCCCTGGCAGCAGCACTTTTTAGAAGACAAATTAAATCCTAATGGAACTTATCACATTACCTAAAATAAAATAAACCAGGTCATTGAAATGGGCGTACATTATGGCATTTCATTTTTATTTTTTTCCCATTAAATCATAAATTCCCAAGGAAATACCTTAGACATGTGCTCACAATAACTGGGAGGCTTCACATTTCAGCAGAAGTATTTTTGCATGAATTCAAATAAGTAACGAGAGTGCATGGAGGGCCCTCCAAGTTTTTTGCTCATGTCAAAGCCATTTCACGAGCATGAATTATCTCTGATGCTACTAAGCATGTGCCAAATACCTTCCGGGTCTGTGAGCAATCTCCATGTGGCAGGCCGAGCCAAGGTCTGAGCTGCTCATGGAAACAGCAACATCAGCTGAACTTCCTGGAATATACAGCAGTCGAGCTTGCCTCCCAAAGCCATTAGAGTTAGATGCACCTCGATGCATTAAGTTCAAGTGTAACTACAACGGAAATACATGATTCACCCGAGCTCTGACCTATTTTTTCATCCCAAAAGCAAAAGGGAATGGCCATTACGAGACTCCTACTTTCCTTTCTAGCATTTTCCTGGAAGTTATTTCAGAGAAGAGTAAAGGCAAAAGGTACTTGGTGACATTTTTAAAAAATTATTTTATTTATTTATTTTTAGAAATGGGAAGGGAGGGAGAAAAAGAGGGAGGGAAACGTCAATGTGTGGCTGCCTCTTGCACGCTCCATTCTGGGGACCTGGCCTGAAATGCAGGCATGCGCCCCGACTGGGAATACACCCGACCACCCTTTGGTTCGCAGGCCAGTGCTCAATCCACTGAGCCACACCAACCAAGGTATTTTGGTAGGAAAAATAAATAAATGTGGCTTCAAGTAAATAAACATGGCGACTGTTTTCATTAAAATATAAATATTGGGCCCTGGCTGGTGTACCTCAGTGGATTGAGTGTGGGCCTGGGATGCAGGCCAGTTGGGGGGGTGGTCAGTGCTCGAGAGGCAAACATACATTGATATTTCTCTCCCTTTCTCCTTCCCCTCTAAATATAAATAAAATTTTTAAATCTTAAATATATATATATAAATATTGGGAACATTTGTGTGGTTTAACAAATCATGGTGTGGTTTCTCTGTACCCTGCTTTGGGATGGGGGAGGGGAGAGATATGAATCAAGCTGCTCTTCTGACATATTCTAGGTTTTTAACAGCAAACAATGCATAAACATATAAAGATAGAATGTTCATTCCATTTAAAAGATGTTTCCATTTCCCTTGATTCTGCTGCATAAAACACCATCATACTCTGCACCCGTTCAGCAATAACAGTGGAAACAGGCAGAGGATTGGATTTGGGTCATGCTGCATAAATTGTACATCAGCCTCCCAGTCGCTCCTGGTTCCCCGAGCACCATCAGACCCTCAGCAGGTCTCCACGCGCGAGCTTCCGCAGGCCCCTGTTCGCTGCGGCACATCTCCAGCGGTCCTACAGGTTCACACACCGCTAGGCCACCCTGGTGGCTCCCCGGTGTCCAAAAGGCTCTCCGGCTGCGTGTAACTCCTCCGGGGAAGAGGGGAAGCGTGCGAGCCGTGGGAGGGAATGGCGAGCGAGTCACCTGGGCTACAGGTGACAGGGACTCGGGCAGAGTCGAGCTGGTCTGAACGGCCCCTCTCTGGACCTGCAAGTCCGGGCGTAACACGGCCCCGCGGGGACAAAGCGACCGGTCCGCGCGCGGATGCTGCGGGCTCCGGAGGCATCTCGGCTTACAGAGAACGGCCTACGCTGCGTCCACGCGGGCTCTCGGGGTGACGGGGGTGGACACATGCAGGACCCCCATCCCCGCGCCGCGCTTACTTTCCGAGCTCCTCAAAGAACCGGTACTCGTCCCTGAACCGGGTGCAGGTGGTGGTGGCGACCATCCCGGGGTCCCTGCTCTGGTGGGAGATGTGCCCTGAGCGGTCTCATGGTCCAAAGGCATGTTGTCCTACATGCAAAGTGACAGTAACACAGGCTCAGTTAAGGTAAAGACGGACCTTTGTCTGGAAAGATACCTGCCCGGGGCCTGACTGCCCGCCATGAGCTGATTCTAGTTTGGAGAGTTTTAATTTCAGGCCCTCCTGCGCGCCCACTTCAGGTCTCTGGGTCTGCAGGGCTCCCTCCCGCGCAGGCCTCCCGAGGTGGTCGGGTTTCGCCTGGGGCCCCTTTCTCCTCCACACACCCACGCCCAGGATCGGAGGGCAGGCTGGGGTGGTTATGGCGACAGTAATTCACCCACTATTTTTAGTGTGGTGCGTGATTATTTTTCTCGTTTTTCCTGTAAACAGTGGCACGCACGCTAGCCAGCAGGCCGCTGTGCTCGCATAGCACTCACGCGGGACACTGGCGACGCCAACCCGCACAGACCGGAGCCCGCCCGAGGGCCAGGGACGTAGGGTCTCCTTCTCCACAGAGCGTGTCCGGGCAAAGCAAGATCCCGTGGCTCGGGTGACGTCAGGCCACGGGTCGCGTGACTAAGACCCCGCCTCAAAGAGGCCCGGTCAGGCCGACCGCGCGGAAATGTCGCGAGAACCTCCTGCCTCCCGGAACTTGCTGAGCTGACCCGGAGGCCCTCGGGGCGGAGGTGTGGTCGAGGGGTGTTGTTTTGCTTCCGTTCGGTTAACGGGACGGCCAAAGCCGACGCCTTAGGGGTTGCCCGAGTGTGAGCGTCCAGGCCTGGGAGAGGCGGGGAGGTGGAGAGCAGGGCAGACCTGCGGAAGGGAGGCGCCGCCCGGCGGGGTCGCCCGTGATGAGGGCGCCGCCCGGGTGGTCACGCGCCGCAGGCACGCGACCCTAGAGGGGATGGGCTGCGGTCGCCAGGGGCCAGTGGGGCCGCTGCCAAGAGGGAGGCTGTCAGCCCCGGTGCCTCGCCGGGCCCGCCCTCGCGCCTAGCCCTGCTTTCCGCCCGGCAGGCCAGGCCCCGTTTCTTCGGCTGGAGCCCCGCCCCGGCTCCGCGCGTGTCCTGAGTCTCCGGCGGGGCTCTCCAGCTTTCCCATCTCTCCCGCCGGCTCTCAGGCGCGTGGGTCGTTTACAGCTGCAGGTTGCTCGCGGCTCGCCCGCGCCGGCTGTTCTCCTTTTCTCGGCTCAGTTTTGCGCGCTCTGGTCCTGCGTCTGGGAGGAGCGCTGGAAGAGACAAGCAGCGTCTAGAAGGGCAGCTGGGCCGAGCGCTGGAGCAGGGACCCCAGCCGCTCGCGATCCCCGCTGCCGGCCACTGTGGAACCTTGACGGCGTTCCTCCTAGAGCCTCCTCTTCCTCACTGCTCTCCAGTTGTTAAAGACTTAGCAACAAAACGGAATACATTTAAGTGGCACGTAACACTATTTGCTGGAGAACCATCTAGTCAGAATTGGTTTTAAGGCAAATCTGACTCCAGAGACAGCATTGTAATGAGGTGTCAGGGTGCTAAGCCCACCACTCAAGGACGCCCCTGAGCGACCCTTCCACCTTAGGACTTGTTCAGAGACCCCTCGGTCTCTGGGCGAGGATGATAGAGGACTGTTTGGCCCATAGTGTTCTCAGTGGAAGAGCACAGGAAATGAGCACATAACCCAGTGTGTTACCCAAGCTCCTTCCTGAAGAGGCCCTTCCAGATCAAATAACATTTCTTACATTGAATAAAATTAAAGAATCACATAATTTCTATTGACTGCGCAGGTTTAATTCGCTGCTCTAGGGGGTGTCCACAGTGAGCATTTGGTTCTATTCTAGTTGTTAGGAAATACATACTGAAATATTTATGGATACAGGGATATGACATCTGCATATTACTGTCTAATGATTTAGGAATAAGTGCACACACAGTGAAGGGGCAAGAGAGAGCAAGCACGTAAACAGCAAACTGCGTGGAGGGAAGTGTTAATCAGGAAGTCTGGGTAACGGTTATTGGAAGATTTTTGTGTTATTCTTGCAACTTTTGTGTATGTAAGTGTCTCACTTTTAATTTCTTAAAAATAATTTAGAAAAAAAATAATTTAGCCCTGGCTGGTGTAGCTCAGCGAGTTGAAGGTGGCCTGCAAACTAAAGGGTCACTGGCCGGTTCCATTCCCAGTCAGGGCACATGCCTGGGTTGCAGGCCAAGTCCCCAATAGAGGCCACATGACAGGCAACCACACATTGATGTTTCTCTCTCTCTCTCTCCCTCACTTATCTTATTTCTAAAAGTAAAAATTACCCACGGGACCCCCGTGGCACGTCAGGACCAGGGTACAGTACGGTTTCCCTTGTCCTGGAAATGGGGCGCGGCAGGAAGGGAAGCCGCCCCCTCGCCCTTCACGCACCGCACGTTTGTGGGGTGCTAAACCATTCCTAGACGACCTGCTTCTGGGTCTGGGTTTCGTACGTAGCAGAGCAGCTCCCTCGCTGTGAACTATTGAAAGTCAGCCCTCGACACAAGGGTTTGTAAAAAGATAAAGATAAAAAAATAAATTAAATTAAAAAAATAACTTATACGTTATTGCCCAAAATGGGAAGTAACCAAGATGTCTCTGAGTATGTGAGTAGATAATCGGTGGTAGATACAGCTACAGAATGATAAAAAAAAATAATTGAGTCCTGGCTGCTGTGGCTCAGTGGACTGAGCACCAGCCTGCGAAACTAGGTGGCTGGTTCAATTCCCAGTCACTACACATGCCTGGGTTGTGGGCCAGGTCCCTAGTAGGGGGCGTGCAAGAGGCAACCACACACTGATGTTTTCCTCCATTCCCTCTCTCTAAAGATAAATAAAATCTTGGCCCTGGCTGGTGTAACTCAGTGGATTGAGCTCGGGCCTGTGAACCAGACAATCGCTGTTCAATTCTCAGTCAGGGCACATACCGGGGTTGCAGGCTGGTTCCCTGCAGGCCAGTTCCAGGCAGGGGATGCATGAAAGGCAACCATACATTGATGTTTCTCTCCCTCTCTCCTTCCCTTCCCCTCTAAAGATAAATAAATAAAATATTTAAAAAGATAAAATAAAGATAAATAAAATCTTAAAAAATGAGTTATTCAGCTATGAAAAAACATGGAGGAAACTTAAATGCCTATTGCTAACTGAATGCAGCCAGCTGAAAAGACTACATGTTGTATAATTCTAACCATATGACTGGAAAAGAGAAAAGTATAGAGACAGGGCAAAGACCTGTGTATTGAAAAATGGGCAAAGGACTTGAATAGACATGCCTCCAAGGAGGAGAGACAAATGGTCAACAGGCATAAGAAAAGATGGGCAACATCACTGATCACGAGGGAAGTGCAAATCAAAACAACGAGTTAACCACATCACATCCCGTAGGAGGCTGCTCTATAGTGATGATGAGAACGTGCAGAAATTTGGACCCTTTGCGCGTTGTTGGTGAGGATGTAAAGTGGTGGAGACATCTCTGATTGTTACGAGTGGGAGTTGTTACTGCACAGAGTGGGCCGAGACCAGGCACACTGCTCAGCATCCTGCACGTGCACAGGACGGACCCGCAGCAGAGAATGATCTGGCCCAGAATGTCGCTAAGGAGTGGGAGTGCTGCGACGCAGGGCCCCGCTGTGGACACCTCAGTGGTCCAAGTCACCCAGTCTGTGGTGCTTTGTGATAGCAGCCCTCTCGAACTACTCCAACAGGTCTCTGAGCCTCCTGTACACTGCTTCATTGGACTCCAGGGACTTGTATTAGCCAGTCTCTGAGGTGGAAAACTCTAAAAGCAAGTAGGAGCTTTAGCCTCCTGAGTTCCCCCTTGCTGGACATGCCCTTGGGAACCTAACTATAAAAGGGCTTTCTGCCCTGGCTGGTGTAGCTCAGTAGATTGAACATGGGCTGAGAACCAAAGGGTTGCTGGTTCCATTCCCAGTCAGGGCACATGACTGGGCTGCAGGCCAGGTCCCCCAGGGAGGGCCACATGAGAGGCAACCACACACTGATGTTTCTCTCCCTCTCTTCCTCCTTCCCTTCTCTCTCTAAAAAAAAAAAAAAAAAAGCCCTTTCCAAGTGAGAGGTAAAAAGAAAAATGGCTATTGGGGAAGTGCCAATTCAGGCAGAAACCCCGGTAGCCCTCAGATTGGGAGGCAAAGGCCAGGGGTAGTGACCAGAAAGGGAAGGGGAGCAACGGCACCAAGAGGAAGAAGGCATTTCTGTTGGTTCGCAGGGGCTAAGACGCTCATTCTAAACAATCTTTGATTTCCAGTTCACTGGTCATCACGCTGGTCGTCCTACCTGCTCCCTTTCATCCTCGCACACGGCTCCTTGGGACCCAAGGTTGCTTTAGGTTCGATCCAAAGGTTTGTATGCCCTGTTCAAACAGCCAGAGGTTTGAGTCCTGAGGCAGTTCCTCTGGTACCGCAGCCCTGCACTGCTGGACCCTGCTGCGCGGCCCCTTCTTTCCAAGGCTCCTCCTCGCCCCCGTGACACACCATTCAGCGGGTCTGCTCGCTGTGGTCACTGTCAGCACCTACACCCGCCAACCTGCTCAGTGCAGGGCGAGCCTCCATCCCTAAGCTAGTGTCGCACAAATCCCTCACTGTGTGCAAGGAAGTCCCACCTCCTCTTTCAACATCGTTCTTCCCTCATTTTGCAAAAGAAAGGTGCAGCTTTCACTAACCCTGAATCTCACCGGGTTCTGCGAACATCCTCAGGACACTAAAGGCACTCCTGAGAGGTTCATTTGCTGTGGACGCTGAAATCCTTCCTAAAATTGGGGTGTTTCCAATACTTAGCTTTCAACAAAACTGAAGGAAGACCTAATAGATTTATCAGATGAATATTTAAAATGATTTTGATGATAGAGCTTTTGTTTTTGCATATAACCAAAGCAAAGGAACTGAGTGATATTGCTATAACAAACTTTTTTTTCCATACATTTTTGGAGTTCAGTAGTGCAGAAAATTTAAAGTGCAGTTTGACTTTCAGTGTCCATAAATATTTCAATTCATGTATCTTTTTTTTTGTAAGGGGAAATAGATTCAGAATATTAAAATCTCCATGCTGAGCAAAAAGGAAAGAGGACTCATGGACATGGACAACAGTGTGGTAATTGCTGGGGAGAGGGGGTATAAGGGGACTAAACAGTAATGGAAAAAATACAATAAAGATTAAATTAAAAGAGAAAAAATAAGCCCACTGCCCCCGCACCAAATCCCAATGCACTCATCGCAGCGCGCAGGAGTGAGGGTTTTTGTTGCACGTACCAGGGGCGGGGGGTGGGGGCGGGAAGCAGCAGGTGAGCACTGGAAGGGGCTGAGGTTGAGCACTGCCATTCAGGCAGACTGCCTTTAATATGCTTTAAGAATTTTATTTTTAGAGAGGGGAAGGGAGGGAGAAAAACATCAACGTGTGGCTGCCTCTCACCCCTCCCCCCCCATGGGAACCTGGCCCGCAACCCAGGCATGTGCCCTGACTGGGAATCAAACCGATGACCCTTTGGTTCGCAGGCTGGCACTCCAATCCACTGCGCCACACCAGCCAGGGGTCTCATACACTTTCTGTCACAAAGTATGGACTTCCTAGTTTACTCATTTAAGTGACTTAATAGGCTGAATGTGAACTATAATGTAAGTTTGGTGTACTTCATAATAAGATTAAATGTAACCTTTATATATTTCACAACCTATGAATTATGTTTACAGTGACAGAGTTGCTCTCATTTTTGTGGGAGTTTTGTTGAGATTGAGCACATGCCACACAGTCCCCGTTAAAAGGGCACAGTTATGTCAGTGGGTTTCAGTATGTTCACGGGGCGACAGAGCTGTCACCACAACCTGAGAACATTCCCACTACCCACAAAAAGTCCGCACCTTCTGTCCTTACCCCCAAATACCTCTGTCCCCACAGCGCAGCCCCGGGCCAACACTGCTGGAGGCTGCCTCTCCGGACGGGCCTACTCCGAAATTCCACGTGGACGGATCGACTCTGGCCTCCTGGGACGGGGTTACGTCACTCGGCACAGGGCTCTAAGCTTCCTGTTGCCGTGCGTGTCTGTGCTCACGGCCAGACCACACTGTCAGGGCAGTAGCTGATGGACATTTGGACTGTCTGCACTCACGAGTTTTTCATGCCGATTTACAGTGGGCTGTAGATAAAAGGCAAACAGCCTTATGTTGTAAGTACGAGGTGTGTGGGCCTCAGAGAGAAGGGCTATCGATAGACATTGTCTCTTTTAAGCAACAGTGGAGGCGGCCAGAATTTACAGATGGACCAACTGGTCAAAAGCAGTCCAGGCAATAAGCCAACTTTAAAAAGAAACCTGGGGTTTTAGGAATCTTCCTGAGTCACTCCATTCAGCTGTGGAGGTGGACCTGTCCTGGGGGCTGCTGAGCAGGGCACCCACCGTGGCATGCCGGGCGGCTTGACTCTGACCCCGGCTGAGCAGGAGGGTGACCCCAACTTCACCGATCAGATAACTGCCTGCAGTGTTCAGCCTGGACGAACGACCCAGAGGCACAGGTGGCCAGAATGTACCTGGTTGTGGGGCAGCCACGGTGCGTGCTCACTGGAAGCAGGGCCAGCCTCTCTCTGGGGCGTGATTTGGGCTGTTTCTGGTGGCTTACCACCGGAGAGAATGAAGGAAAAAAGTAACGAGGGACTAGCAGTACATTGTTAAACTTGGTGCAAGTAAATACTGCTGTTGTACTTGAGTTGTTTAAAAGTTTGTATAGCAGTTAACAGTAAAAAAAATAAAATAAAAAAATAAAATTGAGCCCTGGCTGGCGTAGCTCAGTGGATTGAGCACAGGCCTGTGAACCAGAGTATCGTGGTTCGATTCCCAGTCAGGGCACATGCCTGGGTTATAGGCTAGTTCTCAGCACGGGACGCATGAGAAGCAACCATACATTGACATTTCTCTCCTATTCTTTCTCCTTCCCTTCCCCTCTCGAAAAATAAAATATTAAAAAAAAAAATTGAGCCCTGGCTGGTGTAGCTCAGTGGATTGAGCGCGGGCCTGCGAACCAGACAATCGCGGTTCTATTCCCAGTCAGGGCACATGCCAGGGTTGCAGGCAGGTTCCCTGCAGGCCAGTTCCCAGCAGGGGATGCACGAAAGGCAACCATACATTGATGTTTCTCTCCCTCTCTCCTTCCCTTCCCCTCTAAAGATAAATAAATAAAATCTTTAAAAAAAAAAATTGAGAGGGAGGAGTACTTAGAAATGAAGTCTCTTAGGAGTAACATTCCTCTTGAGGGCATTTGGAGCTGCCACTGGAACCCTTTGATTGCTGTGTATGACCGGTAGGGCCTGTGAACCTTGGACACCCGCGGTCTGACCCCACCGTGTCACTCTGCCTGACACTGTGTGGTCAAGGGGTGATCTCATCTCCTACTTACACAAAGAAACAGACATCTATAATGAAAATGTCCATGTTCATTATTGCACCAAAATAGTGACATATTTTCACTCCCCTGTAACATTTTTATTCCTGATTTTTATAGAGGGGGAGGGAGAGAGGGAAACAAACACTGACGTGGTAACACTGACTGGCTGCCTTCTGAAGGCACTCAGACCAGGCATCAGACCTGCCACCCAGGCACGTGCCCCGACAGGGAATTGAACCAGCGACCTTTTGGTCCGTGGGATGACACCCAACCCACCGAGCCACACCAGCTGGGTGTTTTCAGCCTGTTTTGCGTTGTGACTTTTTCAGAGCTTCAGTGACCTCTTCTCTTTGAGTACACAAGCCATGTCCAAATAACACTTAAGCCATCTTGAATGAGACAGCGGGACACCTGTTAAATGAACTGTCATCTGTCAGCACCGTGCCTGGTTTTCGAGTGTGCTTTGGCTTCTGACAGCCAGATGTTCAGATGCGTTATGGTTCCTCCTGCCCCACGACATGGGACCGCCCTCTCACACAGGGTCCAGGGTGCTTTAGTGGCAGCTGGTATCAAAGGAAGGGCTGGAAGTTACGTTTCTCAAGTCCTAAGTTTACACTGATTCACCTTACAACTCGGTGCTACCCTCTACTTGTAAAGTATGTGATTTTCCTGGGGGGTGGGGGGTGGGGAAGGGAGTAAAAGACAGGAAACTGTACTTGAACAACAATAAAAATAAATTTTAAAAAACCAACATTTTTCTTTAGATATTTTAACTCTCTAATCTACTTCACAGGACAGTGTTAGCATATGTAAAAAAATAAAACTAGGTGCTAAATAATGTCGAGTAAAGTCTCCAGAACCAACGAAACACTGTTTTTACAGCAACGGGACCTCTGTGAGTCGGTGACCCGAATCTCCCCTTGACCTGGTGGCAGCTGCTGACCAGCCAACCTGAGGGAACACTGTGGTCGGCCAACTGTCCGGCCCGAGGAAACCTACTGGGACCAGAGGTGACATTGGTCAGAAAAAGAGGGTGAAAAAGACGAAGAGCTTTGGTATCTTGTTTGGCTAAAAGTGAAAGGCATCCTGAACAACTAGCGTAGTTCTGAACGAGAAGGTCGTACGCAGGTAAAACCAGAGAGACAGCAGGCAACAGTGCGTACCAACACGCACACGCATGGGGTGTGCCGCACGGGTCCTGCTTGTGATGAGTTTGTTCGCTAAAAAATGGCCAGAGGGTAGCGAGGGGTTCTCTGCTTCTAGCAGTCTTCCCTCTGAGCTGAGCATGTGGTTGGAAGCCACTGTGCGAGCAGCCAGACTTCCCTCCCGAGTCGGGAAGCTCAGTCCTCCTGGACATAACAGAGCTTGCCGTCCTCTCCAAGCTGGACAGTCCCACTGGCCACCAGCTGCAGGGCTGCGGGAAAGATTCTGTGTTCTGCTAGCTTCACTCTTTCAGACAGACTGGCAACAGTGTCGCCCCTCTTCACCGGAACAGCTTCCTGCAAGATGATCTGTCCAGCATCCACTTCTTCCTGAAAAAGGAAACCGAGTTTTGAACATGACTGTCTAGTCGGCACAACTTACACCTGAACAGCAGGGACTCTTCGGGAGAAGGAGACATACTCACAGCCACAAAGTGCACGGTGCACCCCGTTACTGTGACACCGGCGCTCAGGGCTTGCTCGTGGGCATTTGAACCCCGGAAAGAAGGGAGCAAGGACGGGTGGATATTGAGCATTTTCCCTGCAAAGTAAAAGAAAGCACAGTGGTCAGAACTGAAACAGCCTCTGGGTTCATGTAAAGGAACACACACACAGCCCTGTCCAGAAACAGGAGCCAGAGTTCCTCCAGGGTGGGCGTTTTCTCAGGAACAAGGTCAAGGGGAACACCGGTTCTCCCCCAGGGAGGCCCTGGCGTGGCAGTTTCTGCCTTGAACAGCTCGAGACACACCGAGACACAAGAACAGGTCCCCGCGGGGGCTGAAATCAGACAGGGACTGGGATGTCCACTGTGGATCTGACAGGGACTGGGATGTCCAAAGTGGATCCTAAGGCTCTTGAAGAAAACGCAGCTCGTGGCTGGCACATACTATCATGAAGTCCTTGCACAGTGTCTGTGTATTTGACCTCTAACCAAGCAGCATGTCCACCGGCCAGGTGCTGGCTCAATTAGTTTTGTGCCTTACGTCACCAGAGGCGTTGCCTGTTTTATATTATATCACAACTGCAGTCTCTTCAGGAAACATGAACTCTCTGGAGAGAAAAACATGTATTCCCCCATGTATGCACAAAATAACACCATAGGATGCAGCCAAAATTTTCTGGGAAGAGGCTCTACCGCCAGGGACTGTGTTTTCTGGCAGCCATGTCTTCGCTGCCGTCTCCTGGCAACGGTCCGCACTTCCTAAGGAGAACACGGGCCACAGGGAATCGGCCGCTCTTGCTTCTAGCGCGTGAAAAAGTCTCTTGCGAATGTTTACTGCAAGATGAAATGCTATCTTTGTAGTAAAGGGAAACAGACGCAGGCCAAAGACAACGGAGAGAAAGCAGGATGATCAACCATCGGTGGGCATCTTGGGGCCGAGGCAAAGGAAACTGCATTGTGACCTGGGCCACAACATGAATGTCACCGTAAACACATAATTCACCGGGGCTGCTCGGACAGTTAGCCACCTGCAGTCCCTTCTCACTTGGTGTCTCAACGTGGTGTCAAACCTTTTGCTTACCGTTCCACTTTCTGACAAAGGGGCCAGATAAAATCCTCATGAATCCTGCAAGGCAGACCAAGTCCGCACAGAACTCTTCAAGGACTTGGTCAACTGCAGTGTCAAATTCTACACGACTTTTATACAACTTATGATTGATTACCTGGAATAGAAAGAAAGGCATGGTCTTTTTCAATGAATTACCAGAAAATGATTTAAAACTTGACCTTTATGTAGACCACACATCACTTCCTCCTCAGTGCACAGCCGGTGTTGAGTTAGGGAACACTCAGGATGAAGCGGAAAGGCAGGCCCGGCCCCCAGCCCGAACCCAGAACTCCTCAGGACAGGCGCCCCAGCCCCGGGCCCGTGGGGGCGGGAGATGAGTCTCAGCCTGCCCGCCCTCCGTCACTCACTCTGCTGGGAATGCCCGCTCTCGCCGCCCTGTCCAGGCCGGCCACGCCGGCTTTGTTGGAGATGACCACCACGATGCGGGCGGCGCTGCCTGGCTCCTGGGTGCTGTCTATGAGAGCCTGGAGGTTCGATCCTGCAGAAGAGGGAAACACAAGGGAGCAAAGATGGTCACTTTTCAATTACAGCTGCTACTATTTCGTAGGAGGTGCAGGTGTACAGCATAGTGCCAATTACAGACTTCGCAGAGCGGTCCTTGCTGGTAAGTCTGGCAGACACCTGGCCCCTCGCAGAGTTATCGCAGCTTCACTGACCCCGCTCCCAGGGCTGCACTTGGTGCCCCGTGACTGCTCTGTAGTTGCCCGTCTGTGCTTCTCAGGCCCACCACCTCTTTTGCCAGCCCCCAACATTCCAACAGGTGCTATTTGGGAACCAGCTTAGGCCCAAGAGACCCCCACGGAAGATGACACCACCCTGGGTGCCTTTGTACCGACTCGTCAGTCACGTGACTTCCGCTGCAGCTGGGGTTACACTCCCCTTGTCCAGACGAGGAAACAGGCTCTTGGAGGGAGAGGGACCTGCCAGAAGCTGGCGTCTGTTCCTCCTCCCTGAACAACATGTTTGTAATAACTGGCACATGTGTGCCAGGAGTCATGTCCCTCAGAAGAGAATGGCTCTGATTTCCTTTGGATTTGTAGTAACAGATGTGCCCTGGGTTTTCCTGTAAAACAAGTACTCGATCCCTTGTCATTAGGCAAATGTACAACGCACGCTGGTACCACAGAGAGCTGGGCACAGGCCCCTGCGAGCATGGCTTGGGGAGCAGGGCTCTTGAACAGGAACCCCTGAACTTTAAAGAAAGGAACTCCTTTTTGCCCTCTAACTGATCACAGAGGCTGTTTCTGGCTACGTCTGCCCGCCTGCAATTCCCGGCTGATTCAGGTGAGGAAGAATGGGAGTCACTTAGCTTGAAGCCGGGTGGTTTCCTGTGTGGGCTACTTGTGGGGACCTGCCGCCCCTCTGTGAACCCCACCTGGAATTTCAGGGCTCTAGTTGTCCCAGCCTGCTGGGTCTGTGCCAACTGGAAAGGGGCTAAGGTGGGGTGACCAGGAGGAGAGAAAGCATGGGGAAGTATTTGTGCACTTCACGTGGAGGGAAATACTCTGAGTGGCAAGCTTGTGGGGTGTGCAGCCTTCATAATCTGACCAAGGCCTGGGGAAACTAGTAACTCTTCCCGCTGCATCTTCATTACAGATGTTTCCTGAATATGCCAGACAGACACAGCCTGTGTGCCGCCTCCGAAGTCGGGCGGGGCTCATCCCTGCTCTAGGCCCAAAGCAGTCCAGGCCTCACTGCACAAAGCAGTGAGGACTAGTCTTCTTCTGGCTGGGAGTTCATTGTGTTTGTACCACGGCACCCAGAGTTAGGCCTCTCATACTGTCCAAAACATTCCTTCCGCTCCTGAACATTTTTTCCCCTAACTCAGAATCCATGAAATTTATAGATGCTACATATTTCTTTGGATATTCTGCTCTAAGAAATAACTATCAGCCCTGGCTGGTGCAGCTCAGTGGATTAAGTGTGGGCTGTGAACCAAAGGGTTGCCGGTTGGATTCCAGGTCGGGGCACATGCCTGGGTTGCAGGCTAAGTACCTACTTAGCGGCACACGACAGGCAAACACACACCGATGTTTCTCTCCTCCTCCTCCCCTCCCCTCTCTCTAGAAATAAAGTCTTCAAAATAAAAAACAATCAATCAGCATAATGAACATTTAAGATATGAGCACAATATCCCCTCGTGTCAATTTATGTAAAAGGATGGGACTATTTTTGCATAATTAACGAGATGTTACGTTTTGCGCAAGGAAACAGTAAACAGTGCAACGTTTGATCTCTTTTCAATTCCTGACGGCGAGCCGCTGCTCTGCCTCCCTGAGCGATGCTAAGGGGGATGGAACGAGAAAAGGAACAGCCCACTAACGCCCCGCCGCAGGTTCTTTGCTCCAGGAGCGTGGGCCTGAGTCCACTGAAATCTTAAAGGGGACTTGAAAAGCAGTTACACTTCTGGGAATGTAGCTCACAGAAATAACCAGATATGCACTTACTGTAAATGAACAGAACATTCACAGCAACATTAGTTACAATAGTGGGCGAAAAAGTCACACTAAATCCATCAAAGAGAGTACGATACTCTTGTTACTTTTTACTACTTTATCCACAGGAATTAAACATAAATTGAATATTCTTTTATCATTAACAATTAAAAAGCCCTCTACTACTGTAAGATTTTAACTACAAAAGAAGCTGCAGTCTCCAGTCTGTGTTTTTCCTAGTCTCTCCTCCTTCAGCTGCGTCCCTGACACCCTCCCTTGCCCTCCGGAAGCCCATCAAAGGCGCGGGACGGAGGAGCGTCCGAGGATGTCCAAGGTGCAGGAAGCCAACCCCCAGGGCCCCGCTGCACTCTGCCAGGTGTCCTTGCCATCTGCAGGGTTGCTGTGGGGGTGGGGCAAGGTGGGGGGGAGGAGAGCATTTCCATGGCACTGTGGGAAAAGGAGGCTGCATCTCACCTGTTCCAGAAATTAGGACAGCCACTCTGGCCCGTTTCGGTTGGGCAGGGAAGGGACTGTTCGCTGTACCGTTCTTCAGCACCGATCTGTCCACGTGCACGGCTTCCATCAGGTGCCTGACCCTCACACGGGGACGGCCTTCGTTTGAAACGCACCCAGTGAAAAAGTAAGGGACAATCGTGAGTGAACAGTGATGGCAGAAAGGAAAGTACTTTATGAGACTTTAGAATATTGTATTTTATTCTGAAAATAAGATCTGCAAGGCCTAGAACAATAGGTCTGTTTTACTTAACACTTACTCATTCATACACACTTCCTTGAGGTGAACATATTACCTACCTAACTAAAAGTCACAGCACACGAGTGTATCCAGGCCTACAGTGGGGCCTGCCTTTACCCCCCAAATCTCCCACCTGTCATGCTGGTGTGACTCTTGGCCTGAAGGGTAGGCATGTGACCCAAGCATGGCCATTGAAATATTTGATACGGGACGTTGAGAAAGAGAGGGCCTGGTTCCTTATTGCAACATGAGCCGAGGGATGTGGGCTCAAGACATTTTTCCGGTATTTGGAGAGCGTGCCTGAAAATGTAACCTACACAACGAAGGGATGAAAGGCAGACACGACAAGCCCTGACATCCCTGTTAGCTAATTCCGAGTGGGTTTTCTGCCTCCTGGCCAATCTCTAGTACTTACATCCGAGTCCCTGAGCTTGTAAGGGTGCTTGTGAGGGTGCTTGCTCACTACTCCTTGATCTGAGCTGGACCACTAAACAGAGCCTGAGACAAGACTTTAGGGGAGTGACCCAGGGAACCACAGGGAGGATCTGGAAGCTCGGGACAGGAGAGCCGACACCCAAGTGCGCTATTCAACGGGTCGCCAGTGTGGGCACCTGGGGCTCCACTGCCCTGGGACCCTCCAAGGAGGCGTGCAGACTGAGCCCCACGACTGCTCCCGTCTGCGGTCCTTGCAGTGGGCATTTACTCCCCAGCTCTCACCCCTGGTCTAGGTGCATCCTGGGGCACAGCGAGGAGCTGTATGCGGCCATGGTGCGGCCGCTGACCTGTTACAGATGTGCCACAGCAATGGCGGGACAAAAAATGCACAGCCGCCGTGTGTGGCAGCACAGTCACGGTCAGGGTGATGTAAGGAAGAGCAATCATGGAAGCAGCCATTACCTTCAGGGCAGGCCACCACCCTGCCAATCACCCAGGCTTCCTCCTGGCGCTGCTGGATGTCCCTCAGAACCTGCGCTGCCAGGTCCGCTGGTACCACGAGGGCAGCGCCAACCCCGCAGTTAAACGTCCTGGCCATCTCTTCCTCAGAGAGGTGTCCCTGCTGCTGCAACCACGAGAAGACTGCGGGGATCCTCCAGGTGCGGGCATCTGCAAACAGGCAGAGTCGTCCGATTCACCTGCCGTCTCACACCAAGTGGAAAGGTGTGCGTGAACACAGCCAGCCCTGCCGCTTCACGCAGGGTGAGACCAGGGACGGCCCCGCAGACACCGAGAACACTTCTGTTCCACACTCGGCCAGTATTCACCAGTTAGTGAGGTCTTGTGCTGCACTGACGATCTAGACTCTTAGAACACCCTTAACGGATCACATGAGCTAACAGCTGAATTCCAGTAAACACTGCCACACTACCTACCTTCTGTGAGTGGTTAGCTGGGTCTCAGTAACGACCAGAATGCACCCTAAGTGCGATGGGAAACTAGCTGGCTTATATGCAGATTGAAAGAAAATGCATACAATGTTAAAGAAAAGTCATGTTACATAGAAGGTTTAAAGTCAAATCCCCTATCCCTCTACATTTACTTTTTAAAGATTTCATTTATTATTTTAATTTTTACTTTTTTAGAAATCTTATTTACTTTTTTAAAGATTTTATTTATTCATTTTTAGCGAGAGGGAAAGACAAGGAGAAAAATATCAATGTGTGGTTGCCTCTCACGTACTCCATACTGGGGACCTGGCCTGAAACCCAGGCATGTGCCCTGACTGGTAATCGAGTCTGTGACCCTTGGGTTCATAGTCCACGCTCAATCCATTGAGCTACACCAGCCAGGACTCATTTATCTATTGAAAAGAATTTAGGCTTACATCTGTTTTAAGAATATATTCTCAGCCCTGGCTGGTGTAGCTCAGTGGATTGAGTGCAAATTGTGAACCAAAGGGTCACCAGTTTGATTCCTAGTCACGGCACATGCCTGGGCTGTGGGCCAGGTCCCCAGTGGGGGTCACATGAGAGTCAACCATACATTGACATTTCTCTCCCTCTCTTTCTCCCTCCTTTCCCCTCTAAGACTAAATAAAGTCTTAAAAAAAAAAGAATATGTTCTTTAGTATCATGAGTAATACAACAAAAATGTCTTCAGAATCTATAATTATGGGATTCAAATTACAAAAACTATATTGAATTCAATTATTTCATTATGATGCTCCTAAGAAAAGGAAGCCACCGTGAACTTAGCTTTTTATCACACAATGAGGTTGACGACCCAGTCCCCTTGGTGGTGGGTCTGCAGGGTAATTCGTGTTTTAATGCTCCAGAGTTGACGCGGTCTCTGAGAGGCACCCGACTCCTCTCCCCGCCAGATTTAGTTCCACTTCCACCAGCGGGGAAATGTCTGCTCTTCAAGTTGAGCTCGGCCCTGCCTGGTGTGGCTCAGTGGATTGAGTGCTGGCCTGCAGACCAAAGGGCTGTCAGTTTGACTCCCAGTCAGGGCACAGGCCTGGGTTGTGGGCCAGGTCCCCAGTGGGGGTGTGTGAGAGGCAACCACACACTGATGTTTCTCTCCCTCCCTTCACCTCTCTAAAAATAGGTAAGTAAAATCTTTAAAACAAAACAAAAATTGAGCTCAACAGACTTAGCTATTATAATGTTCACTTTTCTATCAACAGTCAAAAGTCAACAGTGACCTAAAACCAAATAGTGGCGTGTCCATAGAAGACGAATCCTCTTAATAAAAAATGACACTATGACAGGTAGAGATTGATTACACAGTAGATGGCAGGATAAGGAGCAGATTACCCAGCTATGACATTTCCACAACTATTTACAAAGTCCTTATTTATAGAGACGGACAGGCTAAGAGCCTAGTTTCTACAAACGATCCAGTAAGTCATGAATAAGCCAAGTTGTCGCTTTAATACCGAGAATTCCTTGGATCTGTTGTCAAAGCACAACTCCTGGAATAAACCTCAGAAGCAGGTTCGTTTTCTCCAGGACACGGACCCGCTGTAACTCGGAACACAGTGGCTTTTAGGGGTATGGCTCTACTGACTCGGAGTGTCCTGATGTAATTTCCTTCAATCAACCAGTTTCCCGAGCAGCCCTCTCCAGGCACTGCCTCGGTATCCCCGCCACCCATCGCACCCCCAGTAATCTGTGTGTGCAGGGGGGTACGCGCCCTCACCAAGCTGCTTTCTGACCTCACTCTGAAACACACTGGCCGGTGCGTGGTCCTCACTGTGCCACACCTGACACTGCTGACCAGTGTCATCTTCAGATCCTTGCTGGGAGCTGGGGATACGGGTACACGGCTCACTGCACTTCTGACTGTTCTTTTGCAGTAATTCTACCTGCGCCAAGGTGGGTAGGACACCGGGCACAATCTTCTAGTCCCCTCTACTCTCTTGGCGTTGGCAGTAACTATCTGCCTGTGAGCACCCAACTTACTTTTAATCTCAGCTTCCGCTCAGACTTCCTGCAATGCACACACTGAAGACTTTAACGCTGGAATCCACTTCCTGCTGCAAATCTACGCTTCCTGCTGTGTTAGGGAGGTTGCCGCCTCCTACCTGCTTCACTAGAAACCTGGGACTTCTTTTTCCTTCTAAACACAAAACAATCCCCAGATCTCCCTCCCTTCCCACGCCTGGTTCAGCTCATCTCCATCTTCCCCCAAGGACTGTTTGGAAGCCGCTTCTGCCCTTTCCGGCAGGTTCCTGGTTCCAACTCGATAGACTCGAGATCCCCACCCCCTTGGAGGATCTTACAGCACTTCACCTTACGGAAGTCCGCACATCAGAGGGTTTTATGCCTTACAGACAAGGCTGACAGGGCAAAGAAAAGCAGAGAGGAGACCTCCCATCTCTTTCCGCAGGAACCCCAATGGTAAGAGTTTTCCCGGTGTGATCACATGTGCACCAACTTCCCACAGTCCCCCCAGAAATTCTAGCGAGCTTACCTAAGTCGACCCCAAGTTTCTGTGGGAGGACTCGGGGGATGTTTTCCAGCAATCCCCCACCAGTAATGTGGGCAACGGCCTTGACCTGTCCTGAGCGTAACACGGGCAACAGTGACTGGCTGTAGATTTTGGTTGGAGTTAGAAGCCAGTCCCCTGTACATTGGAGAGAAGACAAAAACTTAGCCTATGAATGCAAAACTAAAGCATGTAAAAACAACAAAACTGAAGCAGAGAATGAGCGCCACCCCGCACAGACACAGCCGTTCCGCAGTACTGTCCAAACGAGACCACGGGGTCACGTTATCCCTTGCACTCTAACGACAGATGAGCCCCACCAGGTGGTTGCAGACACTTCCAAGCAGGAGGCTAACACGAAAGTGCGTTTACCTAAGGTCTGGTTGCCACAGCCGTCAGGCGCCCGAGAGGAGTACCGAAGGGAAGACTTCGCCACGACTTTCCTCACGAGGCTAAACCCGTTGCTGTGAAGACCGGATGAAGCCACCCCAACGACAACATCCCCTTCTGCGATCCTCTCCAGGCGGGGGAGCTGCTGGTCCCGCTCCATGGCGCCGACGGCAAAACCGGCCAGGTCGTATTCCCCGGGAGGGTACATGTCCGGCATTTCTGCCGTCTCACCCCCTGGCAGGACATCAAAGGAGAACAGAGAAATCCTGATATGTGTACACCATCTCGGAGTTGTACAATGAACACCAGTTACCATGAACCCCTACATTAGTCAGGTGACTCCCACGAGGGGGAAGTCACACCTGTATTTAAGCAGTGTTTCCATAAACCTTGGGCATGTTTTATTTTATGTCCTTCTGTGGTAAATTAAACTGCAGGTTTAGAGCGCCGAGACCCTGCCTGCCTTAGCAGGGTCCGGAGCTGACCCCGCCCTGTCTGTGTGCGAGGACGCTGAGAAAGACCGGGCGGGGGGGGGGGGGAGATGGGGCCAGAGCCTGGGGAGACGAGGAAGGCCTGGTGGGCAGCAGGCGTGTGGGCCTGGGCAACACCCCCAAGGAGGGGCTTCAGGACACCAGGGTCTGAGTTTTCCTTCAGGTAGCATGACCTGTGTTTCATGGGCCTCCTCTTGCGATCCACAGCCTCCCTCATTAGCTGTGCCGGTCACACTTCCACACAGAGCTACAGGCACACACAGAAAGAGAAGTTCACAGAATTCCAGCCGTACCGAGGAGCGCACACCCGGCTTGCACACACGCTTTAGCAATTCCAGCCACAACAGCTTCCGCGGTGCCGAGGTCCAGTTTCCCGCAGGAAAAATAATCGAGGAAGAAGAGGGGCTCTGCTCCTTGTGCCAGAATGTCATTTACGCACATAGCAACCAAGTCCTGGCCGATGGTATCATGTCTGTTGCACTGCTGGGCAATCTAGAGAAAAATAGATACACCCACACGAGGTTCAGTTCCAGATTATACCCTGTCGGCTTAGCTGTGGAGGCTGACAAATACTGTCAGCTTCAGCCGCTGCTCTGCACAACTAAGACAAAGAACACTAACCCTGATAAGCCGCTCAGTCCAAACGTAGCCCCTTTATCCCCTAAACAACCCTGCCATCCAGGTCTAACGTATTTTGCTGTGTATAATGCATACTCCCCCCAAACTTTTGAGGGAAAAATAAGGATGCGCATTACACATGGATAGTACTACTTTCGTATTCACATAAATGGTTTTATTCTTTTATGTATACTTATGTGTTAAAAGTGTAACTCTAGAAACCAGTAACAATATCTGTATTCAAAATAATACCCTGGAATATGGTCATCGGTTTTGTTTCCAAATATAAATAAAAAAACTGAATTAAAATTTTTTTTCCCTGAAAGTTTAGGCCAAAACATGGGTGCGCATTATACATGGCAAAGATACGGTGGCTTCAACAATACTGTCTTTAGAAACATATAGCTATCTTAATCATATTATAAGGTTATTGGGTATGGTTTCCTTTAGTGCTTGTATGTCAAAAGGGGAAAAGATGTACTCGACATGCAGTAAAGTCCTTCTGTCTTCCACAAGAGGCCTCTGTTCACCAAGATGTCCGGTTACCTTCAGTTTTGTGCCAACGCCATCTGTCCCACAGGCCAGCAGAGGATCTTTGAAACCGGCTGCTCGCAAATCACAAAGACCAGCGAAACCTCCAAGATCAACATCACAGCCTGTGGGAGAGGAAGTTAATTACGCGAAGCATTTCTACAGGTCAGGTAAACATGCTCAAGCAGAACCCCCCTTCACGGTGCCTTTCCTGAGAATGGAAGAGAGGACCACACACTTACCGCGCTGCTCGAGAAAGTATTTAAATATTAAAGGCGCAGATGTAGCCTTTCAAGTTTAACATCATAAATAAGAAATGCTTTTCTCAATAACAGAGACAAGAAAGGAAAAGACTGTGGGTCTGCCTGACTTACTGGGTAAGACTTACAGAGCCCGGCAGTAATCTGGAACGCCTTCCGCCGTGAACTACAAAGCCCAAATCACTCCACGGTGTCTGTCCAAGGTAATGAACTAGCAAAGGACAGGATCCGACTTACCTGGTCTGGAGGTGGCTTTGGCTAGAGGTTTAATTTTCTTGACCAGCATATTTCCAGCTGCAATATCTACCCCAGACTCCTTGTAAGTCAGGCCCCTACAGAGTGAAAAAGACAGAACTGAACCCAGGACATCACCTCAATGTCAAAGAAAAGTATTTTAACCTTAAAATATTATTTAAAGCAGAAGACACCCCTAGTGATTTTCACAGCCCTGAATGTGCAGGGCTCCCTCCACACTGACTTTGAAGACCCTGAAAATGGACGTGTTTAAATGGCCAAGTTGATGGGCTGTATCATCACTATGGGGAACGATGTCTCTAACTCAACTCTTCTGTGAAGTGCTTCTCACACGTAGCTACGTGTACTGACATTGTGCCATGACCTTTCTCTGTTGAATTTTGGAACAGGAAGGAAAGGAGTGTTGAAACTAAGTCAAAAAGGTAAAAATTAGGATTCTTGGAACTCTACAAAAAAATCCCTAAATAATGAAACTGAGCTACTGCAATAATAGAGAATTTTATGCTTCCTTATAGCTAAACACAATTAACAAGGTAAAAAAACGATGAAAGAGAAGCAAAGTCATACATGTGGTGCCTCACGACCCACGGGGCGAGCGTGGTGGGCGGCACAGCTAGAGGTCGAGTGGGTGAGCTGCACTGCGTGTGTGGCGCAGTGACGTGTGAGGAGACCTGTTAAGTTTTATTAAAAACAGTACTAGGGTGCAAATAAACTTGGTTCTACCGGTTTAAAACACCTTTACCTTTAATTTAAAGAACTGAGACTATTAATATTGTGGTCCCTTGAAATAGATCATTTCATTGGAATCTGGTCATTTTAAAATACAAAAATAAAATTTTAACATGTTCTTATTTCTTTAAAAAAATGCCAGTATTTAAACTTTGAAAATTTGCCTATTGGTAGCAATATAGCTTGAATTAAGTTGCTAAACATATCCTATTTTGTCTGAAAACTTATTCATTTCTCACAGATGAACTTAACAAAGAATAGTAACTGATATATAGCTAAGAAAGCAAAACATTCACACTTGCAATGAAAAGTTTATTGGTTTCTACAAAGGAATAGTGCGACATGTCAACAAACGAATCAACTGGGGTGAAAAACCCACTTCAGTGACAGGAAAAGAGGCAGCGACAAAGACGACGCCAAGTGTACGGAATTAGCAAACCAAGTTGCAAAAGCGGATGACCAGTATTTTCATCTTGAACTCTGACAAAACCAGGAATTGTTAGTTAACAGAAATATTTAAATATACAATAACTCAAGGAATAAAAATCCTTTCCCCATTTTGCTGATAACACGCAAATGACTATACATTTGAAGTGTACAATGGAAAACAAATCCTTAACACAAATCCTTAACATCACTATGATTTTACTAAACCTTTCAAAGGGAAGGAGCTACTGTGAAGTTTTTTCTATTTCATTTAAACATTACTCTAAGTCGTTTTGCATAAAACTAAATGCAAATCGAAACTGGATCGGCCACAGGGTGGATGCAGACCGCAGACCGACCTGGTGCAGGGCCACAGGACCCCCAGCCAGCTGCGCAGCTGCGCTGCCCTCACCAGGGACCAGGGGAGGAATTTACCTGGGCTGCTGGAGGAACGCTATGGCTCCGTGGCCTATGTCCTTCCTGTAGACAGCACCCTCGAACTTGAGAGCAGCCAGTCCTCTTCTGGCTTCTTCAAGGGCCCAGATGAGGTTTTCCCGGATGGCAGTCACTGCAAGGACTCTCCCTCCGTTAGTTACCACCTTGCCGTCTTTTAGGGCGGTGCCTGCGTGGAACACCTCCAGCCCCAAAGCCTGGGCCTCGGCAAACCCTGCAAGATGGCGCACTGGACTCAGTATTCACAATCACAATATTCTGCACCGGTGAACTGGTTGGTAATTTCCTGATGTTTTTTAAAAAATAGAATCTTTACTTCACTTTAATGAACCTTCATAGGAATCCTATCAGGAAGGAATTAACGCAATGTAATAGTAAACAAACACTGTCTCCTAAGGACAGTCTGTTCTGTTCTAGGTGACAATGAAATTCCCAAAAGCCTGTGCTGCTGTCAGTTTCACATAGGAACTACTGTTTCAAGACAGAAAAAAGCCAAGCCCTGAAAAGTTTGAGATTTAAAAGTAGAAAGTTGTTTTTATCCAAGTTAAAAACTAAAAAAAGTATGAAAAAAGGGTATGAACCTAAATATCAATGAATAATCCTGGATTTGAGCCCATCTGTTACTTAAGAGTAAAGGAGTTTCATTTATCACAGCTGCCCAAGTAATGGTGCTTTCTTCTTTCTTTTTTAAGTGACCAACAGAATCACTGCAATGTACAACGTATTCTTAATCTTTCCCCCAATAACACAACTGTAAAGTTTTAAAACAAATTTGATTTAAATTAGGTTTCAGACGCAGTCTTAAGAACCCCAGCTTCATTTTCTTTTGAATTATTTTAAAAGCTCTCATATACAGTTTTATGCTTAAAATATTATTAGGCTGTATTTTCTAAATTCTAAAATGATGAACACGGGCAGTTTATACAAAGATATCTCTTAATTTTTAAAAAGGAAACGATTCTTTTTTTTTTAAAAATATTTTATTTATTTATTTTTCAAGAGAGGGGAAGGGAAGGAGAAAGAGAGGGAGAGAAATATCAATGTATGGTTGCCTCTTATGCATCCCCTGCTAGGAACTGGCCAGCAACCCAGGCATGTGCCCTGACTGGGAATCGAACCTTGATACTCTGGAGGAAACTATTCTCAAACCGCCAGTTTGTCCTTTACTGTCCCCGTTTCTCTTTTAGTGTCAGATCTGGTAACCTGTGCCTTCCCGAAGTGTTTTTGTAATATAGGAGCATTCAGTCATAGTTCCCCAATTCCTGCTGGTATTGATAATACCCAATATTGCTGTGTTGGAAATAAACATTATACCTGCCACCTAATCTTAGGGAAACTTCACCATGACAAAGGGTCTCGACTCTACCCCTTCTCTTTTTAGGCTCATGTAAAAAAAGCCGTCACCTCCTAACCGCCCAGCTGCCACACGTGGGATCCACAGAGCAATGGGCTTCTTGTCGGGGTGAGACGGGAAGTGGGGTGTCTGCGTTCGACACACGCAGGGGCCCTGGGGAGGCCTGCCCTTAGGCTGTGGCCCTGGAACTTACGTGGCACTTTAAAACAGTGCTCTGTTGAACATCGTCTAACCAGCGGCCTCACTTGCTGTAAAGGGAAGCAGAAGAGAAGGCCGCACTTCCAAAGCGTTTGAATTCTGCGGTCCAGGGGGCCTGGGGTGCACGGCAGACCGGGGGGTTCACTTGAGATCAAACATCTGAAACGTATCTCACTGATGTTGTTCACACTAATGTCCTCCTAGCTCTCGCACAGTTCCAGTGTCTTCCTGACTCTCAGCCAGGCCTACGTAAAATGGATGGCAGTTCTTTTTTTTTTTTTTAATACTCACCTGAGGGCATGCTATTGATTTTAGAGACAGAGGAAGGGAGGGAGAGGGAAAATGAGAGAGCAACATCGATCCACTGCTTCTTGTATATACCCCAAGTAGGGGACCAAACCCACAATCTAGGCATGTGCCCTGACTAGGAATCGAACCAGCGACCCATCGGTTTACAGGACGATGCTCCAACCCACTGAGCCAAACTGGCCAAGGCTGGATGGCAGTTCTTTGATTATAGCAATTTTGGATATCTGAACACTCATATCCAACAAGCAAGATGATTATGTGCAGAACCCCTGAAAGATTTTTGATGGCCTCACACCCTTAGGAAGAGCAGAGCAAATTTAAAAAAAAAAAAAAAAGGAAAAGAAAAGCAGAGCAGCGTGGGAGGGAGTGCCTCGCTCGTCACGCTGAAATCAACCTTTGGTTCCCAGCATTCACCTGTTATCTCCATGCCCTTGGCGTAGTCTCCTGGATAACCCTGACTTGCCATGACAACAGTTAGAGCCGCACGGTTTTCAAGCCAAACAGGCAGAGAGGCGCAGAGCAGCCCGTCTAGGGTAGACTGAATCACTTCGTAAAGATCGCTTTTCAGAAGCGGGAGGATCACCTGGAAAGACATAATCGGCAGGGCAACTGAGAGGACTGTTCGCTCTCAGGCATTTTATTACCTGGGGCACCAGCGAAACCTGCGTACACAGTGGGCCCAGGGACAGCGTGGGAGCTGGGGTCCAGCCCCTGCAGTTAAAAACCGCACGTGACTTATGACTCCCCCAAACCTTAGCTATAGTCGTCCCAAGCCATCTGCAGGACACTGGTTCCAGTGGGATGCAGACTCAAAAGTCTGTAGGCGCTCAAGTCCTTTACGTAAAACAGCGAAGATCAACGTAACCAGTTGGTCTTCCGCACCCCTGAATTCCCTACCATGGACTGAAAACAGTTTTCAATCTGAAGTTGGTTGAATCTACAGATTCAAAATCCAGGAATGGAAAGGACTGATGGTATATTTATTTTTAAAAATCCGGATTTAAGGGGACCCACCCAGTTCAAACCCATGTTGTTCTGGGTCAACTGTGTTTTTCAAAGGTAATTATTTCAAGGCTCATAAATATTGACATGGAAACAACACACATTTTGGCCTGGCTGGTGAAGCTCAGTGGATTGAGCGTGGGCTGCAAACCAAAGGGTTGCTGGTTTGATACCCACTCCGGGCACATGCCTGGGTTGTGGGCCAGGTCCCCAGTAGGGGGCGTGTGAGAAGCAACCGCACATTGGTGTTTCTTTCCCTCTATCTCCTCCTCTGTCTAAAAATAAGTAAGACCTTAAAAACAAAAACAAACGAAAAACCCCAACACACATCTACGAAGCAATACTTTAATTTTCTTAAATTATTACTCACTTGGCACTCTGGATCACCGAAACGGCAATTAAACTCCAGAACCTTTGGGCCATCCTTGGTCAGCATTATACCAGCATAGAGGACACCTTCATTAAAAGAGAAAAAAGATACATAGTGAAGACACCGTATTTTTAAAAAAGATTTTATTTATTTATTTTCAGAGAGAGAGGAAGGGAGGGAGAAAGAGAGGGAGAGAAATACCCATCAGTCGGCTGTCTCTTGCACGCCCCCAACCAGGGACCTGGCCCGAGACCTCAGCGTGTGCCTTGAACGGGAATTGGACCCGCAACCTTTCCATTTGCGGCCAGTGCTCAATCTCCTGAGCCACACTGGCCAGGGTGTGATGACATTGTATTGCGACTGGAAATTAGGACACAGACTTCTAACATGCACAGAGGCGTGGAACAACCATAACAAACGGCACTGCAGCGGCCAACTAGTAGGTGGTGAAAAAAGAGAAACTGGGCAGCCTGTCAAAGCAGTACAGCGGCTCCGTGCACAGCGCCCCCCGAACGTCACCGTGCCCACCTGCGTACGGCACGCCCTCCTGCTGCATGCCGTCCACTGTCCTCTGAAGAATGGCATTTTTAATTTTTAGCAACAAATCCTTAGAAACCTGGGAACAGACAAAAATATGTGAATGTAATTGGTATTTTCAAAAATCATCTTGTAAGTGGTACCACATGGGACAATGAAAGGGGCAAGGAAAACTACCATTTATTTACCACCTGAAATGGGGCGACCACTTCAAACTCATAACCTTTTAAAATCCTTGTGCTGCCCCTTTACCAAGTAGGTGTTTAGACTTTTCTTATAAAATAGGAGAGATGACCTCTGCAAGTTAAAAGTGACCATAAACAGAGTTCCCTGAGAAGAGCCGGCAGTTCCCAGCGGACTCCGGCCAAGCCCCCGGGACCCACCTGAGGCACCGGACAATAGGCGCCCATCCCCCCTGTGTTGGGGCCTCGGTCCCCTTCCAGCAGTCGCTTGTGGTCCTGTGCGGGGGGCATGGGAGCCACCGTCCTCCCGTCAGTGAAGCAGAGACACTGCACAGAGAGCAGACGGTCCGATTACTGCAGACACCGGGAAGTACAGAGGCTAACTAATAAGGGGGACACGTATCCAACCCTTCTTAGAGGAGAACTTTTCTTTTTTTAAAGTAAAATGAGTTAAAACATACAAAACCCTGAGCTATCTACATCAATAATCAGGCTAGGCAGAAAACCCAACTACCTTTCAAGTAAAATATTTCAACTTTTTCCCCCTTCAAATAATGTTGGACACAAGTCCAAGTCCTTCACTGAGGCATCGGGGATGATTAAAAGAGGATGCATTCTTTTTTCATTTGCTCCCTAAATACTACACGTGCACATGTCCTGTTGTAACCGCTGGGTTTGCGCTGTCAGCTGAAACCCCCGAGAGGATCAGGTGTCTGGGACGTGGCAGGCAGGTAACGCGGCTCCATGCACTTTGCAGAGGTCTGGGAGTCGAACACACTTACAGACACCTCTTCTCCTTCGAGAAGTTCTTCAATGACAACGGTTTCTCCAGCTGCTCCAAAGGTTTTATCCTTATTGTAGATTAAAAAACAAAAGATGTGAATTGTAATGTAATTGGCTGTCATTTCCTACCACCTGCATTATGAACCAACACACTGGCACTGCACCTTCCCTTTCCCTTTCTGAGAGCCTCAAAGAGACAGGTGAACGCTTCCTATTGTTAAAGTGGCAATGACGTAGAGCTCACACAGGTACGGACGACAGGTAATGCAGAAAGAGATGTTTTCTCCAAACCCTCTAGTTCTTACTTCTGAGGATAATGATACGTTTGCCTGCAACGATTACCCTGCAGAATGTCTGTGACGGCAGATGTCTGCAGGAGGGGAAACCCACGGCAACCCAGAGGAACCGTAAAGGAAAAGCGAGTACATCAATCCCTTGCTTCCCTCCAGAGCTGCGGGTTGCGAAGGGGGAGGGCCTCGGCCCTCACGGACGACTGAGAAGTCCTCTCCACGCTCTCCTGTCTGAGGCTGTCCCACCTTTCAGGAGCAGCAGCACAAGATGCTAGAACTTACTTCCAAAGAACAGAGTCACCATTAGCCGTCATTGTTGGTGTGCCATAAGTCCTTTATGGGGACAGATTATAACACAAAGTACCATGAAAGGTAACCTCCCTGTGTTTGTGGGACACGTTTTCCTTATCTGGCGGAACATTTGTGAACTTAAGAGCTGAAAGTCACAAACATTATCCCGAGTGACTATGAAACTCCGTTTTCCCAGAGACCGACCTGCATGACCTGCCGGACTGCTCCGCAGGCCTCTTCCCTGCTCGAGGCGATGATCACCCCCTTCCCAGCTGCGAGGCCGCTGGCCTTCACCACCAAGGCCGGGAAGTCCGCACTGTGAACAGAATCATCTTTAATAGCCAACCGACCTGCGCAGTTTAAAAATTCAAGATGCTTTGAGATTTTGTAAGGATGTGCCGTGGCAGCGAGAGAAGAGCAGAAAGAAAACTGCCGATCACGCCAACACCACTGTGAAGTGCATCCCACCAGACCCCCCCCTCCGCCCGGCACTCCTTTCTCGTGTGACCACAGCACACAGCACTGTTCTTTCTTTCTTTTCCTACCCCGTGGGTTTTTGTTTGCCGGCACTGTTCTTTCAATTATTATGAGATCACGCTGGCAACATCTTTGGAAAATGAAAGCAGCTGGGCAGTGGGCATGGAGTGGTATTTAAGATGCAAAGCAGTGAATCACGTTTGCAATCTCCCCTGGAGGGTGGTCCTGCCTGCCTGAGGCCACTGCTGTGTGCAGCCCTGGGGAGGGGAAGCCACCGTCACCACGTCTGATGAGGAGGGGAAACCTCCGTTGAGGACTGGGGGCACAAGCAGGAACACCTTAAACTCAAAGTCACTGGGGAACCTAGCAGTGAGACGCCCTCGAAGTGAAAATGACAGCCCATCTCACATCTCAAGAAACTCAAGGAATCCTACTGTCAAAGACAGGGCGTTTCAGCGAACTCCCTCGGGTTCCCTTTGAAGGCCAGAGAATTGCTGATAATCACACTCCAAGGGAACTGGGAATGGAGGAAAAAGACGTGATTGAAGTTTATCAGGAACAAAGAGGCGTCATTCCACGGTTTAGATACTTTTTATTCTTCTCTCAAAACCCCTTCTATTCTTACAAAGAGTTCTTTTGTAATGTGGTGTTTAAAATGAAATTACGAACTGACGGCTCCCTCTCTTTACAACCTCTGGTGATGTGAATCCCACTGCCCATTCATTATGGCTTGTTCTCATCATGCTGCCCTTGGTGGTCACAGCTCAGCCCCCTTCCCGTCGCCTGCTCTTTCTAAGATAATGACAGGTGCGCACAGGGTGGCCGCCTTTCCCGTGACTGGGTCTCCAGGGTTGTGACCAACGAGGCTGACCGACGCAAGGTTCCCGTGGACTTTCTCATTGGCCCTGAAGCTCTAGCGCGTGAACTCCCCTCCTGGACTACAACTTCCAGTGGGAGGTAGAAGACTTTCAGAAGCTCAACTATGGACAAATGACCTTTCCTCAACTGAAAGCTACTTCCGCACCTGAAGGTCTGGACCAGAAGAAGAGGAGGAATACCAGGATCGAGTCTGGATGACAGATGACAGATGACAGATGAGGTGTAAAGGCTCACCCCACAGAGGGCGTCACCGACGGGGAAGCATTCTAAGAGCAAAGGGAAATCTTGTCCGAAGACCCCAGTAAAGTCCTACTTTTCACCAGCAGTTACTGAAGTTGTTCAAGTAGAAGTGTGCACAACAGACGCTGCTCTTTTTAATTTTATTTGTACTTTTTGGCCTGGGATATGAGTTTTAAATAGACACTGTACCAGTTTTATTTTGTTTTTAATTGTATAGAAAGGAAAAGAAAATAGCTAAAACAAGATTTCCTTGAATAATACTGGAAATTATTGTTTATGCACAGTACAAATAAAACTTTTTCAGCTAAAAACCATGGCTGTGTAAGCACAGCACAGACAGGGGGACGCAGACCCTCACTGCAAGTACATATGACCTGCTGGGCGCTTCTGCTGTTCAGTGAGACCGGGGATCCGAAAGGACGGTAGTAAGTACCAGGGTCCTTGCTAACCCAAGGCATCTGGCTACCAGGAAACAATACTCAGTGTGTAAGAAACTCTGCAGGACCCAGAGTGAATAACGAATGGAACGGCCCTGGCTGGTGTGGCTTGGTGGGCTGGGCGCTGTCCTGCAAGGCCACCGGTTCGATTCCCAGTCGGGGCACATGCTTGGGCTGTGGGTCAGGCCCCTGGTCAGAGGCAGGCGAGTGGCCACCGATCCATGTTTCTCTTCCTTTCTTTCTCCCTCCCTTCCCCTCTCTATCAAGTAAATAAAACCTTAAAAAAAAAAAAAAAAACACCCATGAAACTGACTCAACTAAATGGTAAACCATACGAGGTCACGGGGAGAAGGGCCAACAAAAAAGGGCAAAGCCACCCTGGCTGGCATGGCTCAGTGGATTGAGCGCTGGACTGCGAAGGAAAGGGTAGCTGGTTCGATTCCCAGTGAAGGCACATGCCTGGGTTGCGGGCCCAGTCTCCAGTGGGGGGTGCAGGAGAGGCAACCACACATTGATCTTTCTCTCCTCTTTCTCCCTTTTCCCTCTCTCTACAAATAAATATTTTTTTAAAAAAGGAAAAGGCATGCGCCTGTCAACATTCATGGACAAGGATGTCTGATTTCACGAACGAGAGTTGAGCAGGGGTAGCAGGGCTGACAAGTGATGTCTCCTCACTCTGGTTAATTATTTGTTTTAAAAAAATCAATATCCTTTATTTTTGTAAGTTGCCACCACGTACAAGTATGTTGATTGGCCGTGAAATGACTGCATGAGTGCAAAACCAATGTATCTTCTCCCCTAGAAATCATCCAGGAATAAAGATTTTTTAAAATTCACCTTGCCCTGGCTGGTAGGTCAGTTGGGTAGAGCATCACTGAGATACTCCAAGGTGGCGGGTTCGATCCCTAGTGATTGGTAAGACTCAACCAATAATGCATCAGTAAGTGGAACAACAGATCGATGTTTCTCCAAGCCGACCCTCAGCACCTAAAAGTCTGCAAGGCCACAAGATCGTACCACATATGCACAGAATCCCCCTTTATTCTGATGTTGGAAGAATGACAGCCAATATAGAGTGAGTCTCTGCCCTACGATTACCTCGTAATAAACTGGTGACAGAAAAGTGGCCGGTGTATCTAACCACCACACCAAACAGCTGCCCTCCACGGTCAGCCGCCTTCGGCCTACCTCCGGATGAAGCTGCAGGCCTCTTCGGGCTCGGTGAAGGCCCTCCACCGTGCAGTCGGGACTCCGTGCCGGTCCATAAACTCTTTGGCAAACCTTTTGCTGGACTCTAACTGTGCTGCTTCTGCTGTGGGGCCGAAGCAGCGCACTCCCGCCGATGTCAGGTTCCCAACGATTCCTGGGGAGGGAAGCGGAAGCGAGCAGCCTCTGGTGAGCCGAGGGCCCCACGGTGCCCTTCCAGCCGGAAGGGTTGGGGCCAGACCTCATTCGCACTGAGACACAGCAGATGGCTGCTGTTAAGATTTTCATGTTGTCTACAGGATACGCACGAAGAGGCTACTAACACGTGATGCAAATCAGTGGGAGTTATTCATTATATTCGAATGTATGGATCACTAAATAGACACCACAATAAAAACATACAAAATGTTCCCATGGCTATAAATTTGATTTCTCTTTCATCACATTTCTGATGCTTGAGGAAAAATAAATCTAAAGTACAAACATCTCAAGAAGGTGAAAGGACTTTTTTCCAGTGTAATATTACATTAGAAATCTTCATCTCTAAAATGAATTGAATTAGATGACGACATCCCCACCCCCCGACTCCTTTTGCCCTGGACATACTGTAACAATGGACAGAAACAAACTTACCGGCGGCCAGAGGTGCTTCTGGTCCAACAACCACAAATTCAATTTTCTCATCTTTGCAGAACTTGGCCAGGGCACCGTGGTCGCTGATGGAGATGGCTGTGAACAGAAAAGAGAAACAAATGCACCTCACTTTCAAAACATTGTTTTTTTTAAAATTAAGTACTTTTAAGTTGTATTGTAACTCAAGTGGTTGTCTGCCTTTCCCCCCACCCCTCCCCACCATCCCAGCCATCCCCACCTCCCTCCCGTCTCCACCCCTGCTTGTTTTTGTCCATGTGTCCTTTCTGGTTGTTCCTGTAAACCCTTCACCCTCCCCCCCAAAAAAAATTCTGTTAACTCAGTATCACACTGAAAGCGAGGTGCTGTATTTCCTTATGCCCATGAACTTGGCTTCCTTTCCCTGGTACTGATGAGTTTCACGGGGACAGTCAAAACAGAGAGCATCAGGCTAACAAAGCTCAGCCCTCTGCCGCTGCCGAGCCGGTTAGATGAACATACCGGGGACCTTCCCAAACAGCTGGAAAGCAACTTCTAGCCCACGGGGCTCATGTCACGAGAACTGACTGCACAGTAAACAAACGGGCACCACACGATATACTCAGAAACTGGTCTTTTCATGCCATTCATTCGGGACTGGCCGAGAACCACCACGTGCTACAGACTGCTCTAGTCACTGGGTTAAGGCGTCAACACAAACAGGGTCTTTACACTTAGGATGCTTATACCCCACTGTGCGAGTGTTGGGTAAAAATACGGGAAAAAATGACCAATTGTGAACAAGTTAGTCAACTCTGATCCGAGGTGAAGAGGGAATCTCTTCCTAGTTGAGTCAGGAAGGGCGCCCTCGTGAAGAGGTGTTCAAGCAAGAACTAAGTGACTTCGAGGCAGGGCTTTTCTGAGCCGGGGAAGCTTCCTCAGGGGGGTTCTAGGTAGTAGGGTCAACCATATACAGGCGTGGGTTCTTCTCCAGGTGCTCTCCTGCTCCCCTGTATCTGCATCACCACTCTTCAGGCAGCGGAAACTCTGCCTGAAGAGTAGTTAGTAGCTGCAAACCCAACGGGGCTGTGCAGAGCTGACGTCCCTGCATAGCAGACGGTGGCGAGAGGAAGAGGATATACCAAACCTGTGTCTGCAAGTGGCAGCAGCCTCATGACAATCCCAGATTTTCATGGGCTGGCCTGCATGATATCAGTTGCTTCTAAATAGAATGTGACAGTTCTTCAATAAGCAGCTACAACATCTCACCCCTAAGAAGATCCTAGGGGAGCAGATATTATTTTTCATGTTATTTTCTTAAAAAGTTTTTTTTTTTTACTTGCTAATTTTTAGGGGGAGAAAGAGAGGGGGAAGGAGGGAGGCAGGAACATCAGTTTGTTGTTCTACTCATTTATTTATGCATTGGTTGATTCTCGTATGTGCCCTGACTGGGGACCAAACCTGCAACCTTGGTGTATCAGGAAAATATTCAAACCAACTAAGCTCCCTGGCCAGGGTGTCATCTTATTTTCTTATTATCCTTATTTTTTGTTCTGTATATGCAATTACCTTCCTAGTTTGCAGCTTGCTGGGTCATGTTCTCTCCATACAGATCATACCACATAAGGCCTGGCAGGTGCACAGTGTAAAACAAACCAACCAACCAACAAACCAAAACCAACCAACCAACCAACCAAGAACCCCCCCCCCCAAAAACCAAAAACAACGGGTCGAGTTCCTTGCTCTCATACAGCTTATATTCAAGAGCTTATGTTACAGGGAGAAAATGGAGATAGAAAATACACTACAGAGAAGTTAGACACAAAAGTTTGTAATTGAAAACAAATAAAAAGCATGTCCTTGTATGGACATGCTTTACTTAGTAGAAACTTTAGGAAAGACTTCTTTGAGACAGGTAGCATGTAAGTTGAGAGACCTGAATAATGAGCAGCCAGTCACGCTGGGGTGGGAACAAATGCCGAGTCCAAGGCAGCTCTGTTTGGGAAGCTGGCAGGACTGGCTGCACGGACAGAGCAGCAAAAAGGAAACGAAGGATATAAAAGATCAGACTGGAAGGCAGGCAGAGACCAGGTCACAAAGGGCTTTGTAAGGACCATTAAGGAGTGTGAGTTTTATTCTAAGTACTATGGGAAGCCACTGAAGAGTTTAATGTAACATAAGAACTGATCTTTTTTTTTTTTTACCACTTGAAGGGATAAAGTTTGAGACCTATTGTGGAGTTAGAATGACCAACGCTGACATTTGATAGAAATGCTCAACTTTTCATAACCCAAAATGTACATTAAAATGCTTTTAGCCCTGGCTGGGTAGCTCAGTTGGTTGAAGCACCCTCTTGATATACCAACACTGCAGGTTTGATCCCCAGTCAGGGGACATACAAGAATCAACCAATGAATGCACAAATGAGTGGAACAATAAACTGATGTTTCTCCCTCTCTCTGCTGTCCCCCTAAAATCAATAAATTAAAAAAAAAATGCCTTTAACCTATATTAGGCTCCGGTGACTTATTAAATGGATGTGTTTTGTAAGGTTCAAAATAATTTAAGCTAAGGAAATGCTACACTTTGAACAGCAGTATGCCTTAAATTTATAATACATGGTAAGTATTCAAATTACCATGTAAGTTTTACAGTTATGAAAAGCATTCAAATCTGCATAGCCATTGACTTTATGCACAACAGATGTAGTTGAGAGTTCATCGTTTGTCATTATTAACTATCACTCCCCACTTGAAAGAAAACATGATTACCAGCATTTGAAATCTTTTTGGAGCAGGCAGTTCCTGCATTTCCCGGTGCAACCAACACTTGTTTGACGTGATTAGACTGTGCCAGTTTCCAGGCCAGCGTGTGCTCTCTCCCTCCACTGCCAATCACAAGGACTCGCGCTGCCATGCTGCCCACAAACAGGAATCCAAGGAAAATGGAAACTGCAGGAAGAAAACCACAGGTGATGGTTCAGAACGCACATACTTCAATAATCACAACCTCTAAATATCATGGACGCTACCGATCCACTAGTACGAAATTACAACTCGTCTTGAGCAATAAAATAATTGTAAAAAATTACGATGTGTAATTTGACAAATACAACTGTATTCCTGAGGAATAGGGAAGGTTTGCAAAATGGGGCAGACTGGAGGAGAGAGCTAAGTGAAGGAGAGACACGACGACTGACTTCTTGACTTAAAGAAAATTCTCCTGTGATTAACAACCCTTCTTTGGGCTTCGCTTTTACAAGATATAATAATCACCAAGCCTCAGTTAAACATGGATCTTGATGTTTAAATCTAGACCAGAATTTAAAATGACTGTTTTGAAACCCTGAAGTCTCATAGATTTTGAGGGCCATAGTCTGTTACAACTCCTGAACTTCGCCACCACCGTAGCATGAAAGCAGCCAGCGACGAGACCCAAGTAAACGAACATAACTACGTCCAGTAAAAACTTACAATAGGCCATGGCTGCAGGTGACAGATCACTGACCTCTGCTTCTAAGTAACAAAAAGCAATCAGAGGTTTGTAAAGAATACGCAGGGCTATGTGTCAATTACTTTATTCATGGACATTGCAACTTGAATTTTATAATTTTCACATGTTGCAAAAATGTCTGCTTGCAAAAATGTCTGTTTTCACATGTCTTCCTTTAATTTTTTTCCAACTGCTTAATGATGTAAAAGCTATTCTTACTTGATGGGCTGTACAAAAACAGGTGGCAGGAAGGACTGGCACAAAGGCCACAGTTTGCCGACCCGATTTAAGTTAGTACAGTACATTAGAAAAGTGGGAAAGGAGCAAGAAATCCAATCTGAACACATTTTGTGGCATCCTGGCATTTGGCGCAGAGCAGGACAGGCGCCACAGCGATCTCTCAACCGACGGGAGCAGTGTGACCTTGGTAAGCTCCGTCTGTGATTCAACTTCTTCACATCTTAAAAGATGGAAGAAAACCTGCCTTACAGTAAGGCTACCCAAAGATGGACTAAATAACATATATAAACAATCAACACAATTTGTGACATTCAGCAATAGTAAGTGCCACCTTATATTTTATTATGTGCTTTTATCAAAATCGATACTTTAGAGATAGAAAAAAGTTCTAACAGGAGAAAAGCAACACCCCCAAATAATTTGCCACATTAATTTAGTAATTTTCAGAAGACATTTAATTATGCAGAAGACAAACTGGTAACAGGAAAAAGATAACTGAAGCTCTGACTTCTCACTGAAGTCTAACTTCCTGTGAGATGCTGGGATCACACCTGTAAGTAAAAACCTAAGATGATGATACAAAAAACTGCCACTCTCCCAGCACTCACTGGGTGCTGGATGATACATTCCAAGTGCTTAACAGGAGTCATCGCACTTAAACTGCACAATTCTATGAGGTAGCTACTGTCACCACCCCTCCCGGCAAATAAACTGAGGAACTGGGTTAAGGAGCTCGCTGGAAGTCAGAGTTAGAGGCGGTGAAGCCACTGTTAACAATTGAGATGGTGATCACTGAAAATCTGAGGAGGAAAAATTACCAAATGATCATCTCAGAGAGGTAAAAGCTATTTTAGTTTAATGGGAATCACAGATCTGCCATGTGTGTTGAAATAAAACAGCTTTAAATTTAGTTGCCATTAGAGGAGGCGACGCCTCGGCCTGAACAATCCACACCTAGAGGTGAGGGGGCCTGGCTCTGGGTTGAGACTCCGTCCCTCTGGGACGACTCCTGCAGGGCCTTAGTCATTAGAGTAGATTAGTGAGATATGCGAGCCACGTAATGCCTGGATTTCCATGGGCTTGGTGAGTAGTATACAGCACAAAACAAATGCAGAAGTGTGCACTTGTCTGCTAGAGACCATGGGTGCATAATAAAATAGAATAGGCAATCTAAGCTTATGACCTAAAATAGCATGCACGTACAAAAGGCCCCGAATCTTAGAAAGCAGGTAAACTTCAGTTAAAAGGGAAAAGCACGTGGTCTACCCCCACCCACGACATTTAAAAGATGCAAATTCCTATAGCCAAACCCTTCCCTACGGATTCATTCAATTCCTAACAGGAAGTCCCCACATCAAGCACAGATGTACTTTACTTAGTGGTTGTGAGACCTCACGCACCGCCAGGTAGACGAAGACAGCTTGGTCGCGGTACCCACGTTCCTGCCCGCGCGCCGCGCCGGAAGTAAGCCGATAGGGATCCCGGGCGCGCCCGCCCGGGCCCGCCCACCCGCGAGTCCTCGCCTTCTCATTGGTCAGCTTGGCACCTTGGTTCCCCCCTCCCCCCAGCGAATTAGCTCAGTGAGATTTTCCTCTGGCTCTCGGGCGCGGCAGCTGCTCAGTACCGGGGCATAGCCATCTAGTTTGTGCGCGTTTACGATTTAACACTTTGGGGTCAAGTGCTACCCGACGTCCCTTTCCCTTCCCGTGATCCTCAGCTTGAGGAGGGGGGCACCCTAGACACTAGTCCACATGTAGTTAATAGTGTGTTGCTAACGAGTCAGGATTAAGCAGCGACAGACAGAATTCGCTTGGCTCCTGTCCAGAATTCACCAGGCTTTGAACGCAGGTCGCTCGAGACTTCCTGCTTAAAAAAACAAAACAAAACAAAGCCCGATTATAGGACATCATAGGGGAGGTGGGGAATAATCATATTCGTGTTGATTCAGTGGGGGCGGGCGCTAATGAATGCTTTTCCGGGTTCAGTTTCCTGAACAACTTGGGACTGTTGCCCTTTTTGTTCCCTTTGCTCATGGTATTTAGTGTCGGGCGTTTAGCTGCCGAAGCCTCTTAAGCTTCCTCCACACACCGCTGGGGACTAAGAAGCTGACAAAAATTTCGTCGAGAGACTTCTCCTGTAATGGCGCCTGCGTCAGTCACTAACATGGCGGACAGAGTCGTGCGCGGCGCAAACGTCAGCACCTCTCCCTGAGCCGCTCAGAAACAGCGAAGGACAGCAGGCCCGTGCTCACTGATTGGTCCAACGGCAGAGCGTGCAGCTCCGGGCGTTCCAACAGAAGCCAATCAGGACGGCGACAGACGGAATTGGCCGCTGTGCCTCCGCCCAAGGCATTCTGGGAGCCTGGAGGACTAGCGAGGAGGAGTTGAGAGAACGGAGCGGACGCCATGGCGACCAACATCGAGCAGATTTTTAGGTCGTTCGTGGTCAGTAAATTCCGGGAAATTCAACAGGAGCTTTCCAGGTACGCGTTTCCCAGTCTCTTCTGCCCCCAAGGGACCCATAGAGCCCCGCGTAGCCCTCCATGGCACCTTTATTCAGAGGCGCCGTCGTTCCTCGCCTCAGGCCCCGCTACGGCCCCGCCTGGGCCTGGGATCCATTTTCCACCCCCCCCCCATCCGCTCCCTGCCCAGCACGGAACTTCGCCTTTTCCGCCCTAACCCCGACTTCGCTCCTGGAACCGGGTTCAGGCGCTCACCTTTCCCCACCGTTTGCTCGTCCCCTTCCCTTTCGCTGCGGTCGGCCTGGTCGTGCGCCGGCGACGGCCTAGTTCCTCCTGGGCTCCTCCTCCGTCGCCGCGTCCCCCTCCCCCTCTCAGCCTCCGTCGATTTCGCCGGCCGGTGCCCGCGGCCGGAAAGGGTCTCTACCGGCCGTTTCTCGAGTAAACTTAAACCCGCTTTGTCCTGCTTTGGAGCGTCTCGGGGTCGGGAATCCTCTAATTAGATTATTTGGGCCCCGGTGTCTTGTGTCTTTCACCAGGTAGCGTTCTAATCGATTAGAAATTCAAAGTACAGCAGCTCAAATTAATGTTGGCTACTTTGACAGAGTAGCCGAGGGGAGGATGGAAGGGGACTTTGAATTATGAATAATTTCTTAATTTAGCAAGTGGAAAGTGGCCTTGCTGTAGAGGTAGATTTTTATTTGCGACTCTTGTTCCAATGGACATACGTGAAAAACATGTCAGTTCTGGCATTGCTGGTGGACTCTACGTAGTTTATTCTTGGTTCCACCGAATTTAAACGGGAAGAGATTTCCACAGAAGTGTTGTTGACCCAGAACGGAAACTAGCGTGGGTCATGTTGTTCACTGGTTGTCTTAGTGTTTTTGCTTTGTATAATGTAAATACTTGTTTCGAGTACAGATGTTTTTGCTAGTTGTATTTTAAAAGTTCAGAGCGAGAGCAGTAAGCGAACTTGAAAATCGGCCGAAAACGTATTTGTAAATTAAGTGCTCATATTAACGTAAGGTCACTGGGGCAAATGGACTAGTACTATCTGGATTGTTATTTTCAGAGGATATATATATTTTTAAGTGTGAAATAGATCTGCTTGCTGAATTCTTTTTTTTTTTTTTAAAGTTTTGTTATACGCTCGTATTTTGGGGGAGATAAGAGAAAGACCTGAGCTAAGGGAATATATATTTTTGAAAACAGTAGGTGCATGCAATAAGTAATTGTGTAGTCTTTTACACTTTTTAGAAATCAGTTTTTATATTAGGAAATAAGTTTGGTTGTAGAAATTTAAGGGGAAAAAAAGGAAATTGGAAAACCACTACTTAGTTATTGATGTTCTGTTTTTTTCTCCCCTTTGTGCACAGATGAACATACGTGTTTTGTAAAATGTGATTATTTTGTTTGGTGTTTTTTTTCCCCACCTAATGTAAATAAGTATGTCTTACCACAATCTTAGTATTGCATTGGACATTTTTAATGGAATTTTGTTGTAGAAATGTGTTGTTGATGGATATTTAGGTATTTGAAATCTTATTTCAGTGTTTGAGATAAATAACATCACTTTAAAATGATTACGTTTTCATAGATTTTTTTGTTGTACTTTTTTATTTTTTAAATGTTGCTTTTTTAACGAGGTAATTATGTGTGTATAAGTGTTTAGGAAAGTGTAAAATAAGCCCTGAAGGAATTTTTGCAAATAATATTAAAAAGCACTTTATCACTAGAGAAATATTGAACCTCTCAAGTAACTTGTAATACATTATCAGTCTAAAAACAGATTTTTGATTATTTGCCACTTAAGTGAGCTTTATTTTTCATTTTTCCCATCTGCTTTTACGTTTGTCAGTTTGGGTAAGGAGACAGACATTTAGATAATTAAAATTGACTGTTATATGTGGATAGGGGCTAAGAGTATGAGCTCTGGTTGTGAATACCAGCTTCACCTCTTGATAGCTGTGTGACCTTCAGCTAGGTTTCTTGTTTTCTCTGTGTCTCATATTCCTCATTTATAAAATCAGAATAATAATGCTGATCTTAGAGTTTTATGTTAGGGTTAAATGGGTTTCAAAAATGTAGAACCTTGTGACATTCATAGTCACCTTATGATTAGACTTGAACCATTTTTACATGGTTCATTGTATTAAAAAGTCAAATGTTCCTTAATAACGTTTAGGTAACTACTGATTTTTATTTGTTTTTTTGACCGTTCAGACTTCTGTAAAGTAGTGGAGCATAATTATTTGACCTGTTTCGTTAGCTAAAACTTGAGTTAGATTAAGTTAAAAGAATTGTTGAAAAACTTTTTCAAAACAATTTTGGAAATCTATAAAAAATAGTAAAAATGACTAGGTAAGTGACATGTTTTTATGCCTGTTAAGATTCTTTCAAAAAACCCAAACAAATGAACAAAGAAAACAAAAACATTCGGATACACAGAGCAGATTGGTGGCTATGAGAAAGGTTGGGGGAGGGAGGAATGGGTGATGGGGGGTCAGTTGGAAGGCCATGGATGGTAACTAGACTTCTGGTGTTGACTGTTTGTAGTGTATACAGGCATTGAATTATAATATTGTACGCCTGAAACTTTTATGAATACACACACACACTGATTTTACCTCAATTAAAAATTTCTGGCCCTGTGAACTGAAAATATAATAAGCCATTCATTCATTTACTGTTGGTATAAATGAATTGTCACTTGTTTTACATGAATTGTTTTGGGCTCCAGAAATTTAATACTAGAATTTTTGATAACGGGGTAAAAATTAAATAAGTGTGTTTTTGTTTTAAAGCTTCTTGTCATTTTACTAACTGATCAGTAGAAGTCTGATCAGAGGTTACATATTACCCTTTTTATTTGACATGTGTCTGTGGCTTGTTTTATGTCCATGACGCTGTTGATGACAGTGATCCATGGACAGGTGTGGCTTTATAGTAGCTATAGCTTCTGTTCTTTTGATGACTTTTCTGTCCTGAGATAAATATGCAGGTAACTGGAGTCTTAATTCATATTTCTAGTAGTATTTTGTTTTTAGAAAAGGTAAGCTTAGAAACCTGTGTCAAAGACTTTTTCTTAACTTTCACAGTTCTGAAAACTTTATTTGTAAAAAAGTAAAAGTGTGCGACTATTAGTAGATAGTGTCAAGGAAGCACTACTAGTAGGAAATAGCATCTGAAAGAAATACAAAAATGGTGAGAAATGCTAATATGAGGTTATTTTAATCAATTGAATTACAAATGTTAACTTATTGTATGATGTGGTAAAAAGTATTAATGAATTTTGATAACTTTTCTTGTCAAGTGGAAGGAGTGAAGGCCAGCTCAATGGTGAAACAAATACACCTATTGAAGGAAACCAGGCAGGTGATGCAGTTGCCTCTGGCAGGAGCCTACCAAATGAAGAAATAGTTCAGAAGATAGAGGAAGTACTTTCTGGGGTCTTAGATACAGAACTACGCTGTAAACCAGGTAAGTTGGAAATAATCAGCTATCTCAAAACTTGAAGATTTTAAAAGGGTTAAAAGTATTTTTCTTGAATGTATGGTATTTAAAATGTTCATTATATCTAAAACTTCAGTCAAAGTTTCGGTTTAATTGTTCTGTTGAAGACTTTGACTCATTTGAAAATATGAGTGTACTGAAATATGAGCATTTATGAACTTGTTTGCTTTGGTGGTGGATTGACTTTATTTGATTTAGTCTTGTGCCTCAGTGCCAGGATTTCGAAAGTGGGTTTTTATTTAACAATTGTTTAAATGTCCATTTTGGAAGGTACAGGAGCCCGGACCACATTTGTAATGACTTTAAAGCCCTGGGAGGTTTTATTTTAAAAAGTATGTCTAGAGATTGCCTTGATTTGCATCTATCCTCTCTTTTTTGTGTGTGTGTAAATAATTTATTTATCTTTAGAGGGGAAGGGAAGGAGAGGGGGAAAGAAATATCAATATATGGTTGCCTCTAGTGCATCCCCTGCTGGGAACTGGCCTGCAACCTGGGCATGTGCCCTGACTGGGAATCGAACCACGATCCTCTGGTTTGCAGGCCCACGCTCAATCCACTGAACCACACCAGCCAGGGCTGTGTTTACCCTCTCTTAAAATTGCAGTGAATACGAAGGAATCACTTCTTGGATATGTAGCATTTTTAGAATTGATTAAATAATTGGTGCTTAGAATTGAAAGTGTTATCACAAAATTACACTATCTTCATTTAGTTTTGGAAAATGTGGGGTATGGCTTTTCGTTATAAATTTTTAAAAATTTTTTTAAAATTTAATTGTTCAACTTCAGTTTTCTGCCTTTTACTCCCATCCCAGCCCACCCCACCATTATAAAAATCTTTTAAATTTAAATTTTATTTTTGGTGTAGGGTATGGTAAAAAAACCAGACCTTAGTTATATATATTTAAACTCATGGTTCTAGCCTTTTTTTTTTTAAATTTATTTTTAAAAGATTTTCTTTAATTAATTTTAGAGAAAGATTAAGGGAGGGAGAGAAAGATTAATCTATTTCCTCTTGTGTGTACCCTAACTGGGACCATGCCGGCCACCCAGGCCTGTGCCCTGACCGGAAATTGAACTGGTGGCTTTGCAGGAAGATGCCAAACCTGAGCCACATGGGTCAGGGCTCTCAACTTTTTCTTGATGGAAGCATAGCTTAGCTAACTGTTTGGTGCATAATAAACAGTTGGTAGAAAATGAATAGTTTTGCTTTGGAATAGGTCTTGTTACGTGTTTTTTTTTTCCCCCCCCTCAAAACCCTAGCCCTGGCTGGTGTGAGTGCTGGCTGGTGAACCAAAGGGTAGCTGGTTTAATTCCTAGTCCAGGTCACATGCCAGTGTTGTGGGCCAAGTCCCCACTCGGGGTGGGGGGTATGTGGAAGCAACTACACATTGATGTTTCTCTTTCTCCCTCTCTCCCCAAAATAAATAAACTTTTAAAAAACATTAAGAAAAAAAGCTTAATGGCATAGGTTTCTGAACAGCCAATTCTGGGATCTCGAAGGCTTATCTATTTTGATACTGGCACTAGAGTAAATCCTGTCTGGTTATAAAGTGGAATATAAGCCACTTTTCAGATATGCAAATAGAAATATTCTTAAGTTACATGTTAGAAGCTGTAAGAAATTTCTTCCCAAAATGACTTTTTTTTCTTAATAGTCATTAGAAAAGTTGTTTCTTAGTAATTTTACAAGATTATTAGTAATTTTACAAGATTATTGTGGGAAAGGATGTTATCATAAGTGTGATAAGATAAATTCAAGCTCCTAATGGTGTTTCTTTACATGTGTTGTTCAGATCTTTATGTAAAAGTAATCACTACCATTTGCTGAAAGCTACCATTTGCTGAAA